TCAATATCGCTCGACGAGCCGTCACCAGCCAAATTGGTAAACACCACCAACAGCCGGAGCGCCGATTCACCACGTCCTTCCCCTACCGAAGCTAGGGCTAGACTCCAGCGGTAGTTTATTGTGCACCCAATACTCGTCCTGTGAGCGGTAGTACAACTACAGCAGTGTCAACATAATGAGGCCTCATAATATTCACATAACATACTTGTGTACTACTATTGCTGCCTCTGTAGTTTTGCAAGAAAATGTCACTCAAAATTTGCGTTTTCTTGCAACGTTTCAAGGATTTGTAAGTTATTGGCGGATCTTTTGATATAAGTAAGTCTCTTAATTTAAAAAACAAAGAGAATCATTTGATCCAAACAAAACAAAAGAAGATTTGTTCCTTGTTAAGCACAATGTTATTCTTTCATCACTCAGAACTAGAAAAGTTTCATTCAATTTAAGTAACTAAACAAGATCAGTTTTGTTATCAAATTCATGAGTAATGTTTTCAACGTACAAGAAACTATAACTATATCAATTATTTTTTATTATTTTCTTGTTCTTAAAAAAAACTTTGCTTGTCTTAATGTTCAAATTAGACAGAAATAATTGTGAAGTCTATTAAGTCACTAAACTGTTTAGTACATTTGAAGCATAGTTGAATAGGGATATATGAAAAATTCTTGTATATAGGTTAACAATGTATTTCCATGTATATATGCACATCGTTATACACATTACAATAACTCAGCCTAAACAATTGGAATATAAGATGTATACATTCAATGCAGAAGTAAGAATTTTTATAAACATGATTTTGTCCTAATATAGACATTTTGAGACATGTTCATGTCATACTTGATCCTTTGAAATGACAACTTTATATGTTGTGCTACATGTTCCATTTGTAGTGAGTGGTGGAAGGGGGAAGAGGTAATTATAGTGGCTTATCCTGAGTAACCTCCACCGCCCTTGTGGCCACCAGCTCCAAAACCACCGGCGCCGCCTCCAAATCCTCCTCCTAAGCCACCGGCGCCGCCTCCAAATCCTCCTCCTAAGCCACCGGAACCTTTGCCTCCAAATCCACCTCCTAAGCCACCGGCGCCTCCTCCAAATCCACCTGCGCCGCCTTCAAATCCTCCTCCTAAGCCACCGGAACCTTTGCCTCCAAATCCACCGGCGCCTTCTCCAAATCCTCCTCCTAAGCCACCTGCGCCGCCTCCAAGTCCTCCTCCTAAGCCACCGGAACCTTTGCCTCCAAATCCACCGGCGCCTCCTCCAAATCCTCCTCCTAAGCCACCTGCGCCGCCTCCAAGTCCTCCTCCTAAGCCACCAGAACCTTTGCCTCCAAATCCACCTCCCAAGCCACCGGCGCCTCCTCCAAATCCACCTCCTAAGCCACCGGCGCCGCCTCCAAATCCACCATGTAGTTTACCACCATGACCACCACCACCTCCATGTCCTGGGCGTTTACCACCACCATAGGGACGGTGGGCGTGTGACGGGGCCAGGACGCAGACAGCCAACACCAGAGCGGCCAAGACCACGAAGTGACGCATGCTGGAATGTAAGAGACGGAGACACTTGAGACGGTGACCTTGATATTACTGTCTTACTGTCAACACAAACACACTTGATATTATTTTCTTGAACAATCTTTATATGCTTAATAATTGACATGTTCAAGACTTGTATTGATGACTAAATATATGACATGTACTCTAGAATGTTAAAACTGCATGATAAAATTGCTACAACAGAACACAAAGTAAACAGTGAGGAAGAAGTCTTGCTGAACACTGAGTAACCAAGCAGCAGGTGTCTCTTACCTGGTGACGTGTGACGGGCGAGGAGTGAGGACGACCAAGGAGTGAGACAACACCGTGACCCGCTGGGTATATATAGTGACCACGACCCCCCATCCACCACCTTCCAATGAACCTACCCATCAATGGCCGAGTTGCCACACGTACACTCATTATAATGTAAATCAACCAATTAATCCTTTTCAGTTACATATTAGGCTGTTAGTAGTTCCGGATTTAATGTAGAGGTTGCTGAGGGAGTGATTGGTTGATTATAGATTTGTTCTAGAGTTATTAATGTTCTGTAGGAAGAGGAGAGAATATGTGAACACTCCCGAGGCAAATAGTCTGGACGTTGCTGGCAATGAGAAGTTCACGAGAAAAATTTCTCAATGGTTTCGGTGCAGAATTTCCACTTCTTGTGTGAAAAAAAAATCACTGAATAGATAATAATTTGTATCCTTTCATATTTACAGAGCATCATGGACTGTATATGTATGTATGTATGTATGTATGTATGTATGTATGTATGTATGTATGTATGTATGTATGTATGTATGTATGTATGTATGTATGTATGTATGTATGTATGTTTGTATGTATGTATGTATGTATGTATGTATGTATGTATGTATGTATGTATGTATGTATGTATGTATGTATGTATGTATGTATGTATGTATGTATTCATTCGTAAATAACTTCTACCTTCTGGAGGGTAAGGAAACACCAAATCACTTAATCTTTTCATTTTTATTCTTCGACGTTTCGTCAGCAATGTGACATCTTCAGGAGTAAACTCTATTACACTAACACAGCTATTCTGTGTTTACAAGATTAATTTGATTGATGAAGGTTAAACCACCCATGATTTGGCATGGGCATGAATAGCCCGAAAATTGTAGATTTTTTGGGGGGGAGGGAATATGATGTAGCCATTTATAAGTGAGTGGCTACACCTCACTCTGGGATTCACCTAACGCACTTAAAAGTAGAGAGCGGCGAAGGGTAAGGCACAGACGGATCAGTTAATCAAGAAAGAGGTTCTGCTGGGGCAGCAGTTTACACTAACAACCATGAAGCTTACTGGAGCATAAATAGTGGGTGCTCAATATTGCAAACATAATGATATGCCCTGAAGGAGGCCATAAACTATACAATTGAGAATAATTTACATGATGTCATCATTCATACCGACTCTAAATCTTCGCTCCAGACATTATTATCCAGTCATCACAGAGATAATATACAACTCCTCACAGAAATCCAAGATATAGGAAAAGAAGCCTATAATCTAGGGTTGTCAATCACCCTAAATTGAATACCAAGTCACATTGGCATTGATGGTAATGAAAAGACAGACTCACTAGCAAAAACTGCCACTGCTCTACCTGCTGTACAGGTTCAAATACCTCCAAGTTTTTCACAGATTAAGGAGCAAATCAAGAAGAAAATACTCCCAACCATCAAAAGTCGCCACAGAGCCAAAGTAGCGGAAGGAAGATCCACTGCGATCCTTTACGAACAAGCCACTGGGTACTACTCTTTCATGCCTGACAAAAAGATATCCAGAGACATTGCAGTAGCCATACACAGACTCAGACTTGGTTACAAGTGCTGCTGGGAAGTAATGAACCCAATAGTTAATGAGTGTCATATCTGTGGAACAGAAGCAGAGGCGCCACTATTCCACTACTTACTGGAATGTGAAGCTACTGAAGCAATGCGCATCAAACTCAACATTAATCCAACGACAGCAGCTGCATTAGATGCACATTCCACAGCCACTACAATAATTAGAAAAGCCATTGAGGAATGGGACTCACTAGTGAGCATTATGCGTCTACATCCGCCACCAAGATAATGTTATTAAAACAAGACTAAAACCAGTGCACTAAAACAGAAGCGAAAAAGATTGGAGGCCTAAAATTTGAAAGAGTAACCGGTGATTTTGGACCAGGTTATGTCTATGGTAATGTGAAGACCCATAGACCTGGCTACCCACTTAGGCCTATAATTTCGCAGATCCCCACGCCTACTTATACCAAGAGACTGAACGTAATAATATCGCCGTACATTCCGACCACATTCACCTTTAAATCTAGCGACGAATTTATTGACGTTCTGAGAACGAGAGAACCCCGTGAGATCATAGCTTCCCTTGACGTTGAAAGTCTAGTCCACTAACGTTCCAGAGGAAAGCACCATAAAAATAATATTGGACTGGATTGGACACAATCGACTTGAGAATAGTCCAGGACGGACCGAAACGTCGTCGTCCCTTCACTTTCTAGTGTGTGGTTTGGTCAACATAATATTGGACTATGTGTATCATCAAGAGCACCTTCCTCCACTCGAGGTACCTCGAACTATCTTGCAGGATAAGCTGAAGGTCTGCACCACTGAAGCTCCTTTCCTGTGCCTAGAGGGTAAAATCTACTTGAAGGTTGATGGTGTGGCAATGGGGTCCCCATTTGGGGGTCTTGTTCGCCTAGGCATACATATCTCATGTTGCTTCGTCCATCATCCAGAGGGAAGGGTTGAACTCTAATATTTTCTAATATTTACGACATATTCGTTGGCCAAAACATGATGTAATATAAATCATAGCAACTTGCAAAATTGACAGGCTGTCCCATTTTATATTCGTGGGCCTCGGTTAGGTTAGGTTCGGGCAATTTAGTACATTATATTTGTGGCGTTGTGACAACTCGAGACGACGGGCTGGATTGCCAACCTTGATCTTCAAGACCTGTACGTTGGTTACTTCATCAAGAGAAGAAAACTTCATAAAAACCATTATCTCTCTTCCACACAACGTGAAGCTGAAATTTCAACACAGTTTCATATGAAGTCAGTGGAAATTCTGCAGTCTTCCATGAAATTTCCCACTTCCAGGTTTCCAGACGGCTTTAACCTCCTTTGACATCACCATCATATTAAATTCGCTTCACAGAGATTGTTGACATCGCATCTACTCATCATCTGTACAATCGACCAGAGTAAGCATCTCAATTGTTCATATTATTTCCAGAACTAGCAGCAAGTTACCATATAACTCACCTTGATAAATTGCTTGATTAAAATATATATGATGAGTGAAGGTGTGGCAACTGGACTGTTAATGGGTAGGATTCTGGGGGGATTGACGACTGGGGAGGGGGAGGTTCGTGGTCACTATATATACCCAGCGGGTCACGGTGTTGTCTCACTCCTTGGTCGTCCTCACTCCTCGGTCGTCCTCACTCCTCTCCCGTCACACCTCACCAGGTAAGGGACACCTGCTGCTTGGTTACTCACTGTTCAGCAAGCCTTCTTCCTCACTGTTTACTTTGTGTTCTGTTGAAGCAATTTTATTATGCAGTTTTAACATTATAGAGTACATGTCATATATTTAGTCATCAGTACAAGTCTTGAACATGTCAATTATTAAACAGATAAAGATTGTTTAAGAAAATAATCTCAATTGTGTTTTTATTGACAATAAAAGAGTAATATCAAGGTCACTATAACCTCAAGTGTGTTTGTGTTGTCAAGGTCACCGTCTCACTATAAGCTCAAGTGTGTTTGTGTTGAGAGTAAAACAGTAATATCAAGGTCACCGTCTCAAGTGTCTCCGTCTCTTACATTCCAGCATGCGTCACTTCGTGGTCTTGGCCGCTCTGGTGTTGGCTGTCTGCTTCCTGGCTCCGTCACACGCCCACCGTCGCTATGGTGGTGGTAAACGCCCAGGACATGGAGGTGGTGGTGGTCATGGTGGTAAACTACATGGTGGATTTGGAGGCGGCGCCGGTGGCTTAGGAGGTGGATTTGGAGGAGGTGCCGGTGGCTTAGGAGGTGGATTTTCAGGCGGCGCTGGTGAGTTTGGGGGCAGCGGTGGCTTTGGAGGTCAAGGAGGATTTGGAGGTGGTTTTGGCGGCAAAGGCTCAGGTGGCTTTGGAGGTGGCGCCGGTGGCTTTGGAGGTGGTGCCGGTGGCTTTGGCGGTGGCCATAAGGGCGGTGGAGGTTACTCAGGGTAAACCGCAGCATTCAACTCGTCAACCTTCCACCAGTCAACGATCAGTGGAACACAAGTCATAATTAACCATTCAACAGTTCCACCCAAAATCCTCTTGAGTCTTTTTTCTATATTTTATGTGTATCGTGTCTTCAAACTGTTTAATCTGTAAAAAAATTTGTATCGTGTTCATTATGTAAAAAGTCAAATACATTTATATTTCTTTCTGTAGAACTATATATACCTTTATGACCAAGTTTTAAATACAGTATTCTTTTTTTAACCAACTTCACACACATATATATATATATATATATATATATATATGTCGTACCTGGTAGCCAGAACGCACTTCTCAGCCTACTATGCAAGGCCCGATTTGCCTAATAAGCCAAGTTTTCATGAATTAATTGTTTTTCGACTACCTAACCTACCTAACCTAACCTAACCTAACTTTTTCGGCTACCTAACCAAACCTAACCTATAAAGATAGGTTAGGTTAGGTTAGGTAGGGTTGGTTAGGTTCGGTCATATATCTACGTTAATTTTAACTCCAATAAAAAAAATTGACCTCATACATAATGAAATGGGTAGCTTTATCATTTCATAAGAAAAAAATTAAATAAAATATATTAATTCAGGAAAACTTGGCTTATTAGGCAAATCGGGCCTTGAATAGTAGGCCAAAAAGTGAATTCTGGCTACTAGGTACGACATATATATATATATATATATATATATATATATATATATATATATATATATATATATATATATATATATATATATATATATATATATATATATATATATATATTATATGTAATATATATATGTAATATATATAATGTTTGAGTGTTTATATTTGTGCATGTTTTGAATTCGGAATTTGGCTAAATTCGTTATTCCTATATAGCTTCTTTTATTAATAATTAGTATTCTATTGAGAGATCATCTCAATTTGTTGCAGAAATTGTTGCTCTGAAATTTGATAGCTGTGTAGTTATGGCGACTGTGGATTGAAATTGAATCATTGTTTACAAATGTCACAATTAAAAAACTGCACAGATGATACTGAATGAATTAACTAAAAAAGAATCGTGTAGTTTTGGTTTGAATTGGAAACAGTTTAGCAATTCGTTAGAGATTGCATCTTTAGATTTAGTTTATTCTTTTGATAGTAAACTATTATCAAATAGATGGGGCAACAACGGGTTCAGCTCTTGCCTCATTTAATGTGAATGTGTTCTATTGTAATTTTAAGAAACTTCAGATTAATAATTTGTCCCTCTGAATAGATTTTATATTCAATCGACTCTATGAAGAAGGTTCTTTTCTGATCTTAAAGAATCGTTCACATATTTATTTCGTACTTGAATTCTAAACATTTAAACTTGACGTTTACTTATTAATTAACAACATATTTAATTACAACATATTTCCTGACTCATTAATTGCTAATACTGGTAGTAAGTTTCTACGTCTGTTTTCTGCAAACCAACTTTCATGGCATTTGGTCTAGATTATCTAAGAATTAGTTCTACATTATTTAAATTTATTACAATAATAACTTTATTAAATAAAGTTTTCAATCTTTGTTGTGATAACAAATTAGTGGACGTTGAAGTGGATTTTCTGCACGAGTTCTATGAATCAAGTGGTTTTATAAGCTTCGCATTATGCAAGATTCTGATTATATTCTCAAATACCAAGTTCTTGCCTATCAACAAAATTGCTTCAATTCCTAAAGATATTCATTATGTCAAATTTTCATATTTGAGCACTATTAACCTTCGTATTAGAAAGGAACTCCGGTATATTCTTAGATTAATATTTGTTTTTGGACACATGATTAAAAAACTAATTTGAATGACAAAAAACACTTTTTCTTTTTTAGAATATATTGTATTTCCGTGACATTATATTGTACTAGGACGATACCCGGTGTTTCCCGGGTCTCTCGGGTATCTCTCTTTCTTCCTCTGTCTCTTTCTCTCTCTATCTCTGTCTCATTTTCTTTCTTTCCATCCCTCTGTGAACTCCCTTTCACCTCTTCCTCACCACCCCCTCCTTCTTTCCCCCCTCTTCCAACTCCTCCCCTATTTTCCTCCTCCCTCTCCCCCCCCCATCTCCCTCATTTTCCCTATTCTCTTCCTTCTCCCTCAACCCTCATTCTCCTCTCCAGCCTCGAATAAATAGACGTTACCATTTATTTACTCAGTAAATCACAACACTCTACGGACACCACGTCCCCGATTTCATTTCCTACTTCACGAAATTCGCATTGGGGGGGGGGCGGGGGGAGTTACAGGTTAAATTTCTTAAAGCATTTAACTTTGGCCTGCTCAGACCAGCCAATATCCGTCCCGTACCCTAGACCATCCCCCTGCAAATTTGGGTGAGGTTAGCCCGAAGCCTTTGGTCTCCAGCCTTAGAGAGATATAGACAGACAGACAGATATTCTTTCTCATAGGTATAGATTTTACTTGAAAACACACTAAATAGTTTTTTGTTTCACTTAATCCGTGAAGAATCGTTCTTGTTTGTTTAATATTTTAGATTTACCAAAATTGCAAAATTAGACTAATACATATGTAATTTGTATATTTTTATTAAAAGTTTGGTTTTAAAATTGTATATAATGTGTAGTGAAAAATATTATTTCAATATATTTATATACATCACTGAGCAAATTTCAGAAATTCTCAGACAAAATAACATACATATATATATATACATATACCTATGGAAAAATATATTTCGCCTAAATAAATTCACAATTCTAAGGTTGGCTCAGTCACCGTCGTTCCAGAATATTGATGATTTTCCACTTGATCCATTAACTTGTTGTGTCACGTTGATCGTAATGATGAAGATCGTTCCAGGAGAATGTGGACACGGAAACTGTTGTGGTTTACCCTGAGTAACCACCGCCACCACCACCGCCCTTTTGACCACCGGAGTGTTTACCTCCAAATTCTCCGCTGCCGCCTCCAAAGCCTCCACTGCCGCCTCCAACGCCACCGCTGCCGCCTCCAACGCCACCGCTGCCGCCTCCAAATTCTCCGCTGCCGCCGCCAAAGCCTCCGCTGCCGCCTCCAAAACCACCGCCTCCGCCTCCAAGGCCACCGACGCCGCCTCCAAAGCCTCCGCTGCCGCCTCCCAGACCTCCAAGGCCACCAGCCCCACCACCATGAACACCAGGTCCTTTACCTCCAAGGCCACCAACGCCACCTCCAAAGCCTCCGCTGCCGCCTCCAAAGCCTCCTCCGCCACCTCCCAGACCTCCGCTGGCATCTCCAAAGCCTCCTAGGTCACCAGCCCCACCACCACCATGAACACCAGGTCCTTTACCTCCAAGGCCACCAACGCCACCTCCAAAACCACCGGCTCCGCCTCCAACGCCACCGACGCCGCCTCCAAAGCCTCCGCTGCCGCCTCCAAAGCCACCGCTGCCACCTCCAAAGCCTCCGCTGCCACCTCCCAGACCTCCGCTGGCACTTCCAAAGCCTCCTAGACCACCAGCCCCACCACCACCATGAACACCAGGTCCTTTACCTCCAAGGCCTCCGACGCCACCTCCAAAGCCACCAGAACCGCCTCCAAGTCCACCGCCGCCACCTCCAAAGCCACCGGCTCCAACGTCACTTTGGAGTTTGCCTCCATGCACACCGCCTCCACCTCCAAAGCCACCATGGAGTTTTCCTCCCTGCCCACCGCCGCCTCCATACCCTGGGCGTCTGCGACCACCGTAGCCATAGCTACCATAGGGACGGTGGGCGTGTGACGGAGCCAGGAAGCAGACAGCCAACACCAGAGCGGCCAAGACCACGAAGTGACGCATGCTGGAATGTAAGAGACGGAGACACTTGAGACGGTGACCTTGATATTACTGTCTTACTGTCAACACAAACACACTTGAGGTTATAGTGACCTTGATATTACTGTCTTACTGTCAACACAAACACACTTGAGGTTATAGTGACCTTGATATTACTGTCTTACTGACAACACAAACACACATAATATTATTTTCTTGAACAACCTTTATCTGTTTAATAATTGACATGTTCAAGACTTATATTGATGACTAAATATATGACAAGTACTCTAGAATGTTAAAACTGCATGATAAAATTGCTACAACAGAACACAAAGTAAACAGTGAGGAAGAAGGCTTGCTGAACAGTGAGTAACCAAGCAACAGGTGTCCCTTACCTGGTGACGTGTGACGGGCGAGGAGTGAGGACGACCAAGGAGTGAGACAACACAGTGACCCACCAGGTATATATATAGTGACTAGAACCTCCCCCTCCCCCCCTGCCAATTACCCCCAGAATCCTACCCATCAACAGTCCAGTTGCCAACCCTTCCCTCATCATACTCATTTCCACAAACTAATCTCTCGATTAACTACATGATGAATAGTTCAGGGAATAATGGGGACAGCAAGTGTGGATAATATTATGGAGAGTAGGAAGGAGAGTTGTCAATAGCCTCAGTGAAATGAAGATAATGTACAGTGTGGAACTTGTAGGTGTGAGCAAGGTCCTCGGGTCAGGACGGACTTCGCAGTAACTGCTGGGATTCCCAGCTCTTCCTCATATACTACGCCAGCTACTGCCTGCGTAGAAATGATATTTTTATATTTTTTATATATTAGAAGATCTTTATATATTAGAAGATCTAGAGGGTAAAGAAACACAAGCTCACTTAGTCATTCCATTGTATTTCAACGTTTCGTCAAGAACATGACATGTTCAGAAGTATTTACATGTTCGGGAAACACCAGTATACTAATATTATATGTAATTTTGAGCATATATAAGCGTGAGTTCGCCTCACCTCATTATCCCAGTTCTTGCAAATAAATTGGCATTAATCGTTGTGCGTGTCGAAGTATAGGATCAGGTGCAGAGGGTGATAATTGGGTATCTTCCCACTGGATCAAAGGAGGCCCATCAAGCAGCTACATGCTCGGTGTCAAGATCATTTCAGTGTTAATCAATGGGACAAGTTCACCAATATACATGGGTTCGTACGTGTGTGTTCGCAGCCTCCTATGGTCAGTGTAGCTCGTGGTGCTTGTACTCGTGTTACTTACGATATCCTGACAATTCATGATATTGTTGTGGAATACTGAGTGGTGCGGTTATATTCCTTCTTCCTGTAAGTGAAGTGAGAGATGCCCGTTAAGAAGTAAGTAATGTCCCGATCTAGCACAGGTTGCCGAGCGCACAATCTTAGTAATTACATTTATATTTATATAGTACATTAGTAATCTTCGACTCCTCAGATGAGACGTAAATGTTTTCATAATAAAGGAAGCTGTAGGAGTGTTATTATTGTAAATGATAGAGCGAACCGGAATGTTTTCACTACAACGTTTACAATTCCTGTTAAATACTCCGGTATCGCCTTTTCATCCCTCTTAATGCCTGACGTTAAGATTTGTTTATAGTACACTACCATGTGTAGTGTACTATACCTGGGGCTGATTATTCTTTGTGAAGAAGCTGCCAAGCTCCTTATTAACGATTTCGTCAAAGTCGAAATTACTGAAGTTGTTATTCACAATTATTTGGCGGATACGTGCGAGTTCAAGGTCCTAAAGGTGTCAAGAACAGTTACGAACTGTATTGTATTACATTATTGTATTATACTGTATTATTATTATACAGTTACGCATGTATTTTTATCAGGATTTAAGATGCATAGTTTGGCGAGGCTAGGCTACCCTCAAGCCTAAGGTGTCCAAGCTCGAGACCCCGGCTGTGCCCGGGTCTCTCTATCCCCATCCCTTTTCTCATCGCCAGATCTCTCCCTTCTCCAAATCTCTCCTCCATCCACTCTATCTTCCCGACTCCAGATCTCTCCCCTCTTCCTTCCCCCCATCCCCCCAAAATCAATATTATGAAGCGCTAACAATTACAAAAATCTATGGAAAACAAATTTCAAAACTAATTAAAATGGTAGAAGATCGCTTTACATTTCTAAATTTCTTAAAGTGTGGCATTAGGGGCGACCCTGGCTGGCATCTGACACTCATACCCTACATGAACTGGCCCCCAAGCTAGCAGCACATAACTGCTAAAGCTGCATTTATTTTATGCAAACTACTCACTTTCAAATGTTTTCGCAAAAGATTAATTTATTTTTTTATAACTGCTTAATTGCATACATATACATAATTTAATTGCATTTTGAATCCATGAAACTAAATGCTTCAAAACGACATTTTTAATTCAGAGAGAATTTTCAAATTACTTTAAATAACAAAAGTTGTATTCTTACCAAGGTAGATAAAAAGAAATGTAACTATGTATTTTATTAAAATTGTTATAAGGTGGATATAAAGTTAAGTAGTGAACACCTAATCGTTAGACGTACACGACCTCTTGTTGATCAAGGTACAGATATATTACGTTTAATAAGTGGGATACATACACAAATGCTTCTCGGTGCATATACACAGTGTTTAATTTAGTTCTGACTTATGTTCAGGAGAGATCATGTTTATCTACAAACCAGTTTCATTCAGTTCATCTTGAGCCCGTTCCTGGGGAAGATTTGGTTGCTTGTCGTAGCTTAGCCATTGTAACCTCCGCCTCTTCGGCCACCAAAACCGCCGACACCAAAGCCGCCACCACCACCACCACCAAAATTACGGCCACTAAAGCTTTTGCCAAGTCCGAACCCACCAACCCCTCTGTATGAAGGAAGGGCGTGTGCCGGAGCCAGGACGCAGACAGCCAACACCAGAGCGGCCAAGACCACGAAGTGACGCATGCTGGAATGTAAGAGACGGAGACACTAGAGACGGTGACCTTGATATTACTGTCAACACAAACACACTTGTCTTAATCAAATAAATTTCACAAGGATAATTCATGAAATGTGTTAAAAAAATGTTTCATAACGTTTTTTCAGAGAGAGAGAGAGAGAGAGAGAGAGAGAGAGAGAGAGAGAGAGAGAGAGAGAGAGAGAAAGAGAGAAAGAGAGAGAGTAGTCCATACCTGACGACGTGTGACACCTACGGACGACGCCGTAAGAATGAGATCCAAGACAGCTTCCTGTCCTATATATCTTCTCCGGTCCCCCCCCCCCTCCACCCCCCCTACTCCTCCACCCCCCCTAACTATCAGTAGCCCAGAAGTACCGCACACAAACTCAGTCGAACTAGCGAAGGGACAACAAATATTTCAGAAATAAATATAGACAGATTTGAAAGTTTATATCCATTACGAATAACATTGATACAAAAAATATCCACTTTCTTTCAATTAAATGAATTTCTGAAGAGCATAACAATCCAGAAGCTGTTGACACGTGGAATTTCCGAGTAATGGTCTTGAGCAGCGCCTTGTGGTAATTCCCACTACGGTGTCTTAGAATGTCTGCTGCTGTTGCACAGAATGCCCCACTACGGTGTCGTAGAAAGTCCCATTACGATGTCTTAGAATGTCCACTGCTGTTCCATCGAATGTCCGACTACGGTGTCTTCAAGAACATCACCCAGAAATCTCAGCACCTACAGCAAAACCTGTCCAATTAAAGTAGATAAAAAGCAAGCAATGTTTAAGAAATTTTTGTTCACAGTAAAGCTATGTACATTGGGATTGAAATGAAACAATGTCAATGAGGTTAAAGCTCAGACTTTTTTTTATTTAATTTGAGAGCATTTACATTCATGTCGCGAGAATAGTGAAGGAATTACAGCCTATTTAATACATAATCTCCCCAGATTTTTGGGTCAGAAAGTAATTGAATTCGTTAACATATTCATAAATAAAGTTTTAATCTCAATTTTTTTGTAAAACATTTTCAGTTTCACGAAAAACTTAACCTAAAGTTCTAAATGGGGCGACATTTTCGTCGTGTGTATATAAGATTTTGTATATTGTAATATTAGCTTTAATTAGGTTAAGAGTCAAAGCTTTACTTGGTAGCCTCACGAAAGTCTTCATGCACTTTAAGTCTTGAATATATTGTTTAAGTAATAACCGAAATATGGATAAAAATCAACTCTTAGTATATATATACAGCGAGAAGAATACCTCTTGATTTAATATATTTAAAAATGAATAAAAAGTTCAGTGCAGTAAAAAGTTTATTTTCACACATTGCAATACTACATTATAACAAATTAAAAAATTTCTTGGAAGCTAAAACAAATAGAAACAAAGAAAGCACGTCTGATATTTTTTATCAAAAATTTAAAAATAACATTTTGGATATATTTTACTGAGTGACAAATTATGTGATGAAGTATTTGAATACAGTTAAAATATAATCAGGCGCTATAGAGCAGGTTTAGGCATCTGTGATCCGCAAAGCTGTTGTGGTTCTCAAGTAAACCTCTGAATTCTTTCTTTTCCTGGAATATAATAGTGTAAACTTGATCCTGTGGAGGGTAGAGTATGCGGTAAAGTTGGAGTAGTTTACCTTCCGTAGGCTTTTCTTCCACCTCCACCACCTTTGCTTCCACCGTAGCCGCCGCCGCCTCCAATGCCGCCGCCGCCTCAAATGCCGCCACCGCCTCCAACGCCGCCACCGCCACCTCAAATGTCACGGCGGCCTCGAAAGCGGCCGCCGCCGCGGCCTCCAAGGCCGCCACCGCCTCCAAGGCCGCCACCGCCGCCTCCAATGTTGTATTCACCACCGCCGCCAACAATCTCACCGTAGCCGCCGCCTAAGAGGCCGCCACCGCCTCCAACGCCACCACCGCCACCTCCAATGTTGTATTCACCACCGCCGCCAACAATCTCACCGTAGCCGCCGCCTCCAAGGCCGCCACCGCCTCCAACGCCGCCACCACCACCTCCAATGTTGTATTTACTACCGTAGCCATAACCACCATAGCGACGGTGGGCGTGTGCCGGAGCCAGGACGCAGACAGCCAACACCAGGGCGGCCAAGATCACGAAGTGACGCATGCTGGAATGTAAGAGACGGAGACACTTGAGACGGGGACCTTGATATTACTGTCTTACTGTCAACACAAACACACTTGAGGTTATAGTGACCTTGATATTACTGTCTTACTGACAGTACTTAAGACTTAATTTGGTTAAGAATATAAGTATATCTATAAATGGAAATGTCTATTTGTTTGTCTTCCCAAGGATGAAGGACAGACGCTTCAGGCTAGCCATACCCAGTCTTGTGGGGTGACTCAGGAGTGGTATGGGACTGTCATATGCGAGTCTGGGTCGGCCCTATTACCTCCAGTTAAAAAGGATCGGCTCCCATTGAGACCCCTGAAGAAGGTTAAATAAAATGAAATGATTCGAATAAAGCACTGGGATTCGAACCCCGACCTTTCAATGAAGCGACACCGTCGCTGTGACGACCAGTACAAGTTACAGTGAACAAGATAACTACCCAGCTGCATGCTGGGTAGTCATCTTGACTACCAGTGAGAGTATAGCAGGTGAAAGTCCTTACCTGGCGACGTGTGAGGACAGCTGATGACAAAGACTGGTGAGAGGTGTGTAAGCCAGGAGTGCATCTCACCTCTTATATATGAAATGCACGGGAAACAGTTCCCTCCTCCCCTCCCTGGTCCCCAAGCGCCTGCAGTAGCCTTCGTCTAATGGTGCGGATACATCATTCGACTCCTTATTTGGTGTGAATGCATTATCCAATACCTTATTTGGTACGGACACCTGGCTTGCATCACACCTGATATATATAAAATCCACAGGAACACCCCCCCCACCCTGCCCTCCCACTCCCTTCGATTTTTGTCCATTATATCTACTTCACTAAGCTATCTCTCACTCACATCCTCAGACTGCAGTCCGCTGCAGCTGTCTAACACCCAGTGACCTATTTACTACTAGCCCAGCAAACACAATTTGTTTTTTTGACGTTTTTAATTGGTGGCAGAAAGATGACACTGTAACTATTTATATATGAAGTCGTCTTTTTAACGTATAAAATACGTTAATTTCAGTCACTCAAATCGAAAACCTTTGTTGCAAACGTACAACTGTCGTTTTATTACGTTTCTAATTTAAATTAAGTACAAATACTTAACCAATGTATCAGACACACCTAATGTATGTGTACTCACCTAGTTGTGCTTGCGAGGGTTGAGCTGTGGCTCTTAGGTCCCGCCTCTCAACTGTCAATCAACCGGTGTACAGATTCCTGAGCCTACTGGGCTCTATCAAATTTACATTTGAAACTGTGTATGGAGTCAGCCTCCACCACATCACTGCCTAATGGATTCTATTTTTTAACTACTCTGACACTGAAAAAGTTCTTTCTAATGTCTCTGTGGCTCATTTGGGTACTCAGTTTCCACCTGTGTCCCCTTGTTCGTGTCCCACCTGTGTTAAAGAGTTTGTCTTTGTCCACCCTGTCATTTCCCCTGAAAGTTTTGTAGGTGGTTATCGTGTCTCCCCTTACTCTTGTGTTTTCCAGGGACGCGAGTTTCAGCTCCTTTAGCCTTTCCTCGTAGCTCATACCTCTTAGTTCCGGGAAGAGTGTGTGTACTCACCTATTTGTGCTTGCGGGAGTTGAGCTTTGGCTCTTTGGTCCCGCCTCTCAACTGTACCATGTGTGTGTGTGTGTGTGTGTGTGTGTGTGTGTGTTTGTGTACTTACCTAGTTCTTACCTAGTTAAGCTTGCGGGGTTGAGCTCTGGCTTTTTGGTCCTCTCTCTCAACTGTCAATTATCCGATGTATAGGTGCCTGAGCCTATTGGGCCCTATCATATCTACACTTGAAACTGTGTACGGAGTCAGCCTCCACCACATATTTTCTTAAAGCATTCCAATTGTCAACCTCTCTAATATCTCTAATAATCTCTAATATCTCTAATATCTCTGTGGCTCATTTGGGCACTCAATTTATACATGTGTCTCCTTGTGTTAAATAGCCTGTCTTTATCTACCCTATCAATTCCATTGAGATTTTTGTAAGTGGTTATCATGTCTCCCCTTACTCTTCTGTCTTCCATGGACGTAAGGTTTAGCTGCTCCCTTAGCCTTTCCTCGTAGGTCATACCTCTCAGTTCTGGGACTAGTCTGGTGGCATACCTCTGAATCTTTTCTAACTTTATCCTGTGTTTAACTGGGTATGGACTCCAGGCTTGAGCTGCATACTCCAGGACTGGTCTTACATAAGTGGTATACAAGGTCCTGAACGATTCCATACACAAGTTTCTAAAGGCAGTTCTTATGTTGGCCAATCTAGCATATGCCATTGATGATATACTTTTGATGTGGGCTTCTGGGGACAGGTTCGGTGTGATATGAACCCCCAGATCTTTCTCTCTTTTTGGTTCTTGAAGGATTTCACCTTCCAGATGGTGCCTTGTCCTCCTGCGCCTTTCGCCTATTTTCATTACTTTACACTTTCCTGAGTTGAACTTTAGTAGCCATTTTCTAGACCATTCCTCCAGTTTGTCCTGGTCGTCTCTGTCTATCTTCATCTGTCTTGATTCTTCTCATAATTTTTACATCATCAGCAAACATTGAAAGGAATGAGTCTGTACCTTCTGGAAGACCGTTTACATATATTAGAAACAGGATGGGTCCAAGTACAGAGCCATGTGGGACTTTGCTGGTGACATCTCGCCACTCTGATGTCATCCCAGCACCCCCCCCCCCTCCTCGCAGTTACTCGCTATTTCCTGTTGCTTAGATACTCCCTTATCCACTGGAGCACCTTATCCACTGCGTGTGTGTGTGTGTGTGTGTGTATTCACCTAGTTGTATTCGCTTAGTTGTATGTGCGGGGGTTGAGCTTTGCTTTTTCGGCCCGCCTCTCATCTGTCAATCAACTGTTTAGTAACTACTTTTTTTTCTACACTCACACACACACCAGAAAGCATCCCGTGACAGCTGACTAACTCCCAGGTACCTATTTACTGCTAGGTAACAGGGGCATTCAGGGTGAAAGAAACTTTGTCCATTTGTTTCTGCCTGGCGCGGGAATCGAACCCGCGCCACAGAATTACGAGTCCTGCGCGCTATCCACCAGGCTAACAGGCTCCCCCCCAGGTGTGTGTGTGTGTGCGCGCGCGCGCAAGTGCGAGCACGTTTGGTATGTTAGAGTACTAATAGGTAAAAGTACTAATAGGCTTTTTATGTTAGAGTACCAATAGGTAAGCATTACCACAGAAAGTGTATGAAGGTGTTCCTGTGACCTGTAGTGAGAGTGAGTGTAATATGATACTGTCTGTGTCAACAATACAGTATCTGATTGTATTGTTGTGGTTGTACCAGGTCAACCATAATACAGTGGTTGACCTGGCTATATGCCGACCACAGTCAGTCTCTCTCCAGCTATAGTTCGCCCAGGACGTCAAGGAGCTTCACTCTAACTATTCTCTCTCGACATTACTAACAAGATAATAATTGAAATCAAATTAATTTCATTAGCATATTCATGAAATGTGTTAAAACATGTTTCATAAACGTTTTTGCCATTCAGAGAGAGAGACAGACAGACAGACAGACAGACAGTGAGAGTAGTCCATACCTGACGACGTGTGACACCTACGGACGACGCCGTAAGAATGAGAGCCAAGACAGCTTCCTGTCCTATATATCTTCTCCAGTCCCCCCCCCCTCCACCCCCCTAACTATCAGTAGCCCAGAAGTACCGCACATAAACTCAGTCGAACTAACCAAGGAACAACAAATATTTCAGAAATAAATATAGACAGATTTGAAAGTTTTAATCCAATACGAATAACATTGATACAAAAACTATCCACTTTATTTTAAATAAACTAATTTCTGAAGAGCATAACAATCCAGAAGCTGTTGACACGTGGATTTTCCGAGTAATGGTCTTGAGCAGCGTCTTGCGGTAATGCCCACTACGGTGTCTTAGAATGTCTGCTGCTGTTGCACAGAATGCCCCACTACGGTGTCGTAGAAAGTCCCATTACGATGTCTTAGAATGTCCACTGCTGTTCCATCGAATGTCCGACTACGGTGTCTTCAAGAACATCACCCAGAAATTTCAGCACCTACAGCAAAACCTGTCCAATTAAAGTAGATAAAAAGCAAGCAATGTTTAAGAAATTTTTGTTCACAGTAAAGCTATGTACATTGGGATTGAAATGAAACAATGTCAATGAGATTAAAGCTCAGACTTTTTTTTATTTAATTTGAGAGCAATTACATTCATGTCGCGAGAATAGTGAAGGAATTACAGCCTATTTAATACATAATCTCCCCAGATTTTTGGGTCAGAAAGTAATTGAACTCGTTAACATATTCATAAGTAAAGTTTTAATCTCAATTTTTTTGTAAAACATTTTCAGTTTCACGAAAAACTTAACCTTAAGTTCTAAATGGGGCGACATTTTCGTCGTGTGTATATAAGATTTTGTATATTGTAATATTAGCTTTAATTAGGTTAAGAATCAAAGCTTTACTTGGTAGCCTCACGAATGTCTTCATGCACTTTAAGTCTTGAATGTATTGTTTAAGTAATAACCGAAATATGGATAAAAATCAACTCTTAGTATATATATACAGCGAGAAGAATACCTTTTGATTTAATATATTTAAAAATGAATAAAAAGTTCAGTGCAGTAAAAAGTTTATTTTCACACATTGCAATACTACATTATAACAAATTAAAAAAATTCTTGGAAGCTAAAACAAATAGAAACAAAGAAAGCACGTCTGATATTTTTTATCAAAAATTTAAAAATAACATTTTGGATATATTTTACTGAGTGACAAGTTATGTGATGAAGTATTTGAATACAGTTAAAATATAATCAGGCGCTGTAGAGCAGGTTTGGGCATCTGTGATCCGCAAAGCTGTTGTGGTTCTCAAGTAAACCTCTGAATTCTTTCTTTTCCCGGAATATAATAGTGTAAACTTGGTCCTGTGGAGGGTAGAGTACGCGGTAAAGTTGGAGTAGTTTACCTTCCGTAGCCTTTTCTTCCACCTCCACCACCTTTGCGTCCACCGTAGCCGCCACCGCCTCCAAGGCCGCCACCGTAGCCTCCAATGTTGTATTCACCACCACCGCCTACAATCTCACCGTAGCCGCCGCCTAAGAGGCCGCCACCGCCTCCAACGCCGCCACCGCCACCTCCAATGTTGTATTCACCACCACCGCCTACAATCTTACCGCCGCCGCCGCCTCCAAGGCCGCCACCGCCTCCAACGCCGCCACCGCCACCTCCAATGTCGTATTTACCACCGTAGCCATAACCGCCATAGGGACGGTGGGCGTGTGACGGAGCCAGGAAGCAGACAGCCAACACCAGAGCGGCCAAGACCACGAAGTGACGCATGCTGGAATGTAAGAGACGGAGACACTTGAGACGGTGACCTTGATATTACTGTCTTACTGTCAACACAAACACACTTGAGGTTATAGTGACCTTGATATTACTGTCTTACTGACAGTACTTAAGACTTAATTTGGTTAAGAATATAAGTATATCTATAAATGGAAATGTCTGTGTCTGTCTTCCCAAGGATGAAGGACAGACGCTTCAGGCTAGCCATACCCAGTCTTGTGGGGTGACTCAGGAGTGGTATGGGACTGTCATATGCGAGTCTGGGTCGGCCCTATTACCTCCAGTTAAAAAGGATCGGCTCCCATTGAGACCCCCCGTGAAGGTTAAATAAAATGAAATGATTCGAATAAAGCACTGGGATTCGAACCCCGACCTTTCCATGAAGCGACACCGTCGCTGTGACGACCAGTACAAGTTACAGTGAACAAGATAACTACTCAGCTGCATGCTGGGTAGTCATCTTGACTACCAGTGAGAGTATAGCAGGTGAAAGTCCTTACCTGGCGACGAGTGAGGACAGCTGATGAGGAATACTGGTGAGAGGTGTGTGAGCCAGAAGTGCATCTCACCTCTTATATATGAAATGTACAGGAAACAGCTCCCTCCTCCCCTCCTTACTCCCCAAGCGCCTGCAGTAGCCTTCGCCTCATAGTGCGGATACATCATTCGACTCCTTATTTGGTGCGAATGCGTTATCCGATACCTTATATGGTGCGGACACCTGGCTTACATCGCACCTGCTAAATATAAAATCCACAGGAAACAACCCCCCCCCCCCCCCCCCTGCCCTCCCACTCCCTTCGACTTTTCTCCATCATATCTACTACACAAAGTTATCTCTCACTCACATCCTCAGACTGCAGTCCGCTGCAGCTGTCTAACACCCAGTGACCTATTTACTACTAGCCCAGCAAACACAATTTGTTTTTTTGACGTTTTTAATTGGTGGCAGAAAGATGACACTGTAACTATTTATATAAAGTCGTCTTTTTAACGTATAAAATACGTTAATTTCAGTCACTCAAATCGTAGACTTTTGTTGCAAACGTACAACTGTCGTTTTAATACGTTTCTAATTTAAATTAAGTACAAATACTTAACCAATGTATCAGACACACCTAATGTATGTGTACTCACCTAGTTGTGCTTGCGAGGGTTGAGCTGTGGCTCTTTGGTCCCGCCTCTCAACTGTCAATCAACCGGTGTACAGATTCCTGAGCCTACTGGGCTCTATCAAATTTACATTTGAAACTGTGTATGGAGTCAGCCTCCACCACATCACTGCCTAATGCATTCCATTTGTTAACTATGCTGACACTGAAAAAGTTCTTTCTAATGTCTCTGTGGCTGATTTGGGTACTCAGTTTCCACCTGTGTCCTTGTTCGTGTTCCACTCGCGCTAAAGAGTTTGTCTTTGTCCACCCTGTCATTTCCCCAGAAAATTTTGTAGGTGGTTATCGTCTCCCCTTACTCTTGTGTTTTCCAGGGACGTGAGTTTCAGCTCCTTTAGCCTTTCCTCGTAGCTCATACCTCTTAGTTCCGGGAAGAGTGTGTGTACTCACCTATTTGTGCTTGCGGGGTTGAGCTCTGGCTTTTTGGTCCTCTCTCTCAACTGTCAATTATCCGATGTATAGGTGCCTGAGCCTATTGGGCCCTATCATATCTACACTTGAAACTGTGTACGGAGTCAGCCTCCACCACATCATTTCTTAAAGCATTCCATTTGTCAACCTCTCTGACACACAAAAAAATATCTTTCTAATATCTCTGTGGCTCATTTGGGCAGTCAATTTATACATGTGTCTCCTTGTGTTAAATAGCCTGTCTTTATCTACCCTATCAATTCCTTTGAGATTTTTGTAGGTGTCTCCCCTTACTCTTCTGTCTTCCATGGACGTAAGGTTTAGCTCCCTCAGCCTTTCCTCGTAGGTCATACCTCTCAGTTCTGGTGCTAGTCTGGTGGCATACCTCTGAATCTTTTCTAACTTTATCCTGTGTTTAACTGGGTATGGACTCCAGGCTTGAGCTGCATACTCCAGGACTTTTCTTACATAAGTGGTATACAAGGTTCTGAACGATTCCATACACAAGTTTCTAAAGGCAGTTCTTATGTTGGCCAATCTAGCATATGCCGTTGATGATATACTTTTGATGTGGGCTTCTGGGGGACAGGTTCAGTGTGATATCAACCCCCAGATCTTTCTCTCTTTTTGGTTCTTGAAAGATTTCACCTCCCAGATGGTGCCTTGTCCTCCTGCGCCCTTCGCCTATTTTCATTACTTTACACTTTCCTGAGTTGAACTTTAGTAGCCATTTTCTAGACCATTCCTCCAGTTTGTCCTGGTCGTTTCTGTCTATCTTCATCTGTCTTGATTCTTCTCATAATTTTTGCATCATCAGCAAACATTGAAAGGAATGAGTCTATACCTTCTGGAAGACCGTTTACATATATTAGAAACAGGATGGGTCCAAGTACAGAGCCATGTGGGACTTTGCTGGTGACATCTCGCCACTCTGATGTCATCCCAGCCCCCCTCTCCCCTCCCTTATCCACTGGAGCACCTTATCCACTGCGTGTGTGTGTGCGTGTGTGTGTGTGTGTGTGGGTGTGTGGGGTGTGTGTGTGTGTATTCACCTACTTGTATTCACTTAGTTGTATGTGCGGGGGTTGAGCTTTGCTTTTTCGGCCCACCTCTCAACTGTCAATCAACTGTTTAGTAACTACTTATTTTTTCTACACTCACATACACACACACACCAGAAAGCAGCCCGTGACAGCTGACTAACTCCCGGGTACCTATTTACTGCTAGGTAACAGGGGCATTCAGGGTGAAAGAAACTTTGTCCATTTGTTTCTGCCTGGCGCGGGAATCGAACCCGCGCCACAGAATTACGAGTCCTGCGCGCTATCCACCAGGCTCTCCCCAGGTGTGTGTGTGTGTGTGTGTGTGTGTGTGTGTGTGTGTGTGTGTGTGTGTGTGTGTGTGTGTGTGTGTGTGTGTGTGTGTGTGTGTGTGTGTGTGTGTGTGTGTGCGTGCTAGTGCGAGCACGTTTGGTATGTTAGAGTACTAATAGGTAAGCTTTACCACCAGAGTAAGTGTATGGAGTGTTCCTGTGACCTGTAGTGAGAGTGAGTGTAATATGATACTGTCTGTGTCAACAATACAGTATCTGGTTGTATTGTTGTGGTTGTACCAGGTCAACCATAATACAGTGGTTGACCTGGCTATAGGCCGACCACAGTCAGTCTCTCTCCAGCTATAGTTCGCCCAGGACGTCAAGGAGCTCCACTCTAACTATTCTCTCTCGACATTACTAACAAGATAATAATTGAAATCAAATTAATTTCATTAACATAATTCATGAAATGTGTTAAAACATGTTTCATAAACGTTTTTGCCGTAGAGAGAGAGAGAGAGAGAGAGAGAGAGAGAGAGAGAGAGAGAGAGAGAGAGAGAGAGAGAGAGAGAGAGAGAGAGAGAGAGAGAGAGAGAGAGAGAGAGAGAGAGAGAGAGAGAGAGAGAGAGAGAGAGAGAGAGAGAGAGAGAGAGAGTAGTCCATACCTGACGACGTGTGACACCTACGGACGACGCCGTAAGAATGAGAGCCAAGACAGCTTCCTGTCCTATATATCTTCTCCGGTCCCCCCCCCCCCTTCCACCACCCCTTAAATTCAGTAGCTCAAAAGTACCGCACATAAACTCAGTCGAACTAACCATGGAACAACAAATATTTCAGAAATAAATATAGACAGCTTTGAAAGTTTTAATCCAATACGAATAACATTGATACCAAAACTATCCACTTTATTTTAAATAAACAAATTTCTGAAGAGCATAACAATCCAGAAGCTGTTGACACGTGGATTTTCCGAGTAATGGTCTTGAGCAGCGTCTTGCGGTAATGCCCACTACGGTGTCTTAGAATGTCTGCTGCTGTTGCACAGAATGCCCCACTACGGTGTCGTAGAAAGTCCCATTACGATGTCTTAGAATGTCCACTGCTGTTCCATCGAATGTCCGACTACGGTGTCTTCAAGAACATCAACCAGAAATCTCAGCACCTACAGCAAAACCTGACAAATGAAAGCAGATAAAAAGCAAGCAATGTTTTAGAAATTTCTGTTCACAGTAAAGATATGTACATTGGGTTTGAAATGAAACAATGTCAATGAGGTTAAAGGACAGACTTTTTTTATTTAATCTGAGAACATTTACATTCATGTCGCGAGAATAGTGTAGGAATTACAGCCTGTTTAATACATAATCTCCCCAGATTTTTGGGTCAGAAAGTAATTGAACTCATTAACATATTCGTAAATAAAGTTTTATGTCTCAATATTTGTGTAAAACATTTTCAGTTTCACGAAAAACTTATCTTTAAGTTCTTAAAGAGGCGACATTTTCGTCGTGTGTATATAAGCTTTTGTATATTGTAATATAAGCTTTAGTTAGGTTAAGAGACAAAGCTTATCACTTGGTAGCCTCACAAAGGTCTTAATGTACTTTATGTCTTAATTGAATGTATTGTTTAAGTAATAACCGAAATATGGATAAAAATCAACTCTTAGTATATCTATACAGCGATAAGAATACCTCTTGATTTAATATATTTAAAAATGAATAAAAAGTTCAGTGCCGTAAAAGTTTATTTTCACACATTGCAATACTACATTATAACAAATTAAAAAAATTATTGGAAGCTAAAACAAATAGAAACAAAGAAAGCACATCTGATATTTTTTATCAAAAATTTAAAAATAACATTTTGGATATATTTTACTGAGTGACAAGTTATGTGATGAAGTATTTGAAGACAGTTAAAATATAATCAGGCGCTGTAGAGCAGGTTTGGGCATCTGTGATCCGCAAGGCTGTTGTGGTTCTCAAGTAAATCTCTGAACTGTTTCTTTTCCTGGAATATAGTAGTGTAAACTTGGTCCTGTGGAGGGTAGAGTACGCGGTAAAGTTGGAGTAGTTTACCTTCCGTAGCCTTTTCTTCCACCTCCACCACCTTTGCTTCCACCGTAGCCGCCGCCGCCTCCAATGCCGCCACCGCCTCCAACGCCGCCACCGCCACCTCAAATGTCACGGCGGCCTCGAAAGCGGCCGCCGCCGCGGCCTCCAAGGCCGCCACCGCCTCCAAGGCCGCCACCGCCGCCTCCAATGTTGTATTTACCACCGCCGCCTACAATCTCACCGTAGCCGCCGCCTAAGAGGCCGCCACCGCCTCCAACGCCACCACCGCCACCTCCAATGTTGTATTCACCACCGCCACCTACAATCTCACCGTAGCCGCCGCCTAAGAGGCCGCCACCGCCTCCAACGCCGCCACCGCCACCTCCAATGTTGTATTCACCACCACCTCCGCCTTCAATCTTACCGCCGCCGCCGCCTCCAACTCCAATGCTCCGATGCCGCCGCCTCCAATGTGGTCTTTACCACCGCCTCCAAACCCACCGCCGCCGCCTCCAATGCCGCCGCCGCCTCCAATGCCGCCGCCGCCTCCAATGCCGCCACCGCCGCCTCCAATGTGGTCTTTACCACCGCCTCCAATGCCACCACCACCTCCAAAACCACCACCGCCTCCAATGCCGCCGCCGCCTCCAATGCTGCCTCCAATGTGGTCTTTACCACCGCCTCCAATGCCACCACCACCTCCAAAACCACCACCGCCGCCGCCGCCTCCAATGCCGCCGCCGCCTCCAATGCCGCCTCCAATGTGGTCTTTACCACCACCTCCAAAACCACCACCGCCGCCACCGCCTCCAATGCCGCCACCGCCGCCTCCAATGTGGTCTTTACCACCGCCTCCAATGCCACCACCACCTCCAAAACCACCACCGCCGCCACCGCCACCGGGCTTGCCAATTAATTTGTCGCCACTGCCGCCGCCTCCAAACCCACCTCCGCTGCCTCCTTTAAAGCCTCCGCCCTTGATACCGCCTTTAAAGCCACCACCATAGCCGCCATAGGGCCGCTGGGCGTGTGACGGGGCCAGGACGCAGACAGCCAACACCAGAGCGGCCAAGACCACGAAGTGACGCATGCTGGAATGTAAGAGACGGAGACACTTGAGACGGTGACCTTGATATTACTGTCTTACTGTCAACACAAACACACTTGAGGTTATAGTGACCTTGATATTACTGTCTTACTCTCAACACAAACACACTTGAGATTATAGTGACCTTGATATTACTGTCTTACTCTCAACACAAACACACTTGAGATTATAGTGACCTTGATATTACTGTCTTACTGACAGTACTTAAGACTTACTTTGGTTAAGAATATAAATATATCAATAAATGGAAATGCCTGTGTAAATAATGTTAATAAATGGAAATGTCTTCACCCTTGGAAATGTCTTCCCAAGGATGAAGGACAGACGCTTCAGGCTAGCCATACCCAGTCTTGTGGGGTGACTCAGGAGTGGTATGGGACTGTCATATGCGAGTCTGGGTCGGCCCTATTGCCTCCAGTTAATAAGGATCGGCTCCCATTGAGACAACCGTGAAGGTCAAATGAAACATAAATCCTATTTTCAGGATTTTACAAAGCCTGCATTAAATTGATCTCGGGGCCTGTATTAAATAGTCTCTGGCCTATTAACTAGTCGACGGATCTCCAGCAATTGGTGTTCAGTTCGCAGTTTCTTAGAGGGATTTGCGGCTATTCTAGCCGCTCGAGATTGAGCAATGACAGGTCCGTAATGCCTTTAGATTGAACAAGGGCCGCACGTGCGGCTCTAAACAAGGGCCGCACGTGCGCTGCACTAAAGAGATCAACGTGTTCTTCCCCCTCCATGTGGAGCGCGTAACCCGTTCAATCCCCTTTCATGATTGGGACTGGGGCTTGCAATTGTTTCTCATGAACGAAGAATTCCCAGTAATTGCAAATCATCAGCTTGCGCTGATTATATCCCTGCCCTTTGTACGCACCGCCCGTCGCTACTACCGATTGAATGACTTAGTGAGGCCATCGGACTGGCGCTCTTGAATGTTCGACGCGAGGGCCACCGAGACGCAAGTAAAAGTCGTAACAAGGTTTCCGTAGGTGAACCTGCGGAAGGATCATTACAGTTTGTGACGCGAGAGCTGCAACCATCGACTCGTCGTCATCTGCGCTCGAGTATTCTTCAATACGAAGAAGAAACAAGGAAAGAGTAGCCTTGGGAGCCGCACCCAATTGCTGTGGAAAAGGGATGAAAAGTGAAGGCAGCAACTGCTGTAGGGTTAAGTAAGTCAGTCCGGCGCAGGTGACAAGCCTGTGACCGGACTTGCATTCGAATCTCTGTGTCGCATGCGCAGCCTCCGAAAACTTCTTGTCCTCGGTCGCTCAGGGGCTTTCGGTACCCAGAGAGAGAGAGAGAGAGAGAGAGAGAGAGAGAGAGAGAAAGAGAGAGAGAGAGAGAGAGAGAGAGAGAGAGAGAGAGAGAGAGAGAGAGAGAGAGAGAGAGAGAGAGAGAGAGAGAGAGAGAGAGAGAGAGAGAGAGAGAGAGAGAGAGAGAGAGAGAGAGAGAGAGAGAGAGAGAGAGAGAGAGAGAGAGAGAGAGAGAGAGAGAGAGAGAGAGAGAGAGAGAGAGAGAGAGAGAGAGAGAGAGAGAGAGAGAGAGAGAGAGAGAGAGAGAGAGAGAGAGAGAGAGAGAGAGAGAGAGAGAGAGAGAGAGAGAGAGAGAGAGAGAGAGAGAGAGAGAGAGAGAGAGAGAGAGAGAGAGAGAGAGAGAGAGAGAGAGAGAGAGAGAGAGAGAGAGAGAGAGAGACAGAGACAGAGACAGAGACAGAGACAGAGAGCAGGCGAAGACACTGTTCCTCTCGCTGACAGGGCCGGCGCCTGCTACTCTGGCGGCGTCTTGAACTGGGTTTTTCCATGACACGCTTCCCAGTGTGCCTTCCCCTTCACTCTACTGTATAAGTAAATGTACATGTACGGCTGAGAATGAAAGCTATGGGAAATAAGAGAGAGAAATAAGCATATGTGTGTGTTCCAGCCCTCGTCGGGCTCTTACCAACCCTATCAAACCTCTCATACATTACCTCTTCCTTTGATGGAGTGATAGAATCTCACACCATGATAATTACTGAATTACATATAATTATCACCCTTCAACGAGGTAGTTAAGAGGAGGAAGTACAAAGTTACAATGCCTGTATATATCACTTAGTAGGTGGTAGGGGGACAAACTAGTTGGGTTACGAGAATGACTCAAAGGACCTACTCCCAGCCACTGGGATTCGAACACCGACCTTGCCATGAAACAAGGCCGTCGCTGTGACGACCAGTACAACTTACAGTGAACAAGATGACTACCCAGCTGCATGCTGGGAAGTCATCTTGACTACCAGTTACAAGTGAGAGCAGCAGGTGAAAGACCGTACCTGGCGACGTGTGAGGGGCAGCTGATGACGGATGCTGGTGAGAGGTGAGTGAGCCAGGAGTGCATCTCACCTGTTATATATATAAAATCCCTGGGAAACCACTCCCCCCTCCTTTCCTCACTCTCAAAGTCCCCCTCCTTCATCCCTCCCCGCTCCCAAAGCCCCCTTCCTGCCCCCCTCCCCACTCCCTAAGCCCTCCCTCTTTGATGTAAATGATGTAAACATTAGTTCTACAGCATAGTAGAGCTGTCGGAGCGACATAGTCCTGTAGAATGGTGGAGATGAAGGAGTTGCGTAGACCTACAGAACGGTGTGTAGGCTGTGGTGTGACGTAGGCCTACATAATAGTGGGGCTGTTAAACTATCAGGAGAAAGCGCCAAGGCATTACGACTATATAGCACTTGGAAGGGGTCAGGATAAGGGTATGGGATAGGACGGGGGGAAATAATGGTGCCCAATCACTTGGACGGTCGGAGATTGAACGCCGACTTGCATGACGCGAGACCGTCGTTCTACCGTCCAGCTCAAGTGGTTGGGGATGTTGGAGAGAAGCACACAGGAGGGAACAGGAGTAGCTACCTTCTGACTCCTCTCAACAGGATGTAAACTTTCCCTTCCCTTAGCTCATGGGAAGCCTAACCCTGATAGTTTTCCCTGGAATACGACCCGCTAAATCGTTTAATTAACAACCAGGTACCCAGTCACTGCTGGGTGAACAGAGGGCTACAGTTAAGGATTGACGCCTAGTCAATCCTCCCCGGCCGGGATACGAACCCACGCCAAATCGCTTTTGAAGCGCGGGATGAGTGTGTTACCTCTGCGCCAAGGAGACTACAGTCGAGGTAACCGCCTATTTATGCCCCGGCTATTAGACTTATTGTACCAGTTGCGTTACAACTGAACAATTCTGGCATTCTGACTTTAAAGTTGTGGATGGAGGTGGCTTCCACAACTTCTTCTCTGAGTGTTTTTCACTTATTGATCGTCCGAACAGGGTACAAGTATTATCTTACATTTTTTGGACGATATATTTGCGTTTCCATCTTCCTCTTATATTTCCTCGTCCTGTCTTTTCTCTATTTAAAGAGAATGATCTTGTTTCTGTGCACTACAAAAGTCCTCGTGATGTCAGTGATGATGAAAACTCAGGTGTTTCAAGCGTAGGATAGACAAAATACTAGTTTCGGTGGAGGCTTTGCATGGGTCAATAAACCTACTTTTTTCTTCAGTGGTATTTTCTTAAGTTATAACAAATGGTTATTATTCTCTTGGTGGGAACTACATAATTAGTTATATTTTCCTAAATTTTATGTTATATGTTAATATAATGTTGCATATTATTATTATTTATTTTATGTATGTAATTTTACATATTTATATATGTAATTATTCATTGAAGAAGACATTGTGTATGCAAATTTTCATTACACATAAAATGATCTTTGAGTTTTTGAAAACTTCTTTTCAAAAAAAGAAAAAGAAAAATATTTTTTGAAAAGTTTTGTTTTCAAGTTTTTAAATAATATACTTTATATCTAAATTAAATGTATATTTTAAATAATAATCCTAACAAGAATTAAAATACACTCTCAGTGCATACACAGTGATACATATACCTCTCAGTGTATTGTATTTAAAGGAGTATAAAAAATCAAGGGAAAAATGACAAGTTTATCTTCACACATTTAAATATTTCACAGTAAAATAAAAATACATAATTTTTTCATGCATCACAAAACAAATTGAAACATAAATTATGTTTAATATTTTCCATCTAAGAGATTTCATATAAATATTTATGGATAATACTGAATGACAAATAATGTGACCACGTTTTTCTCCTCATCAATAACGAGAGAGCAAGTACATGATAAGAGGTTCGAACGAGGTGAGAATAGCTTGAACTGCCTCATCCCTTTGTGTGTATTTACACCTCATTTCAACTTATTTCCATTTCAGTGATGGAGATATTTCTTCGATACAAACAGACGTTGTAGAGCAGGTCAGAGGCATCGGTGATCCGCCCAACTGTTGTGGTTCTCGAGTAAATCCTCTGAGCTGTTTCTTCTCGTGGAATATAGAACTGTAAACTTGGTCTTGTGCAGGGTGGAGTAAGGGGTAAGTGCTATAGGGGTTTACTTTCCGTAGTTTTTGTTTCCGCCAAAGCCACCAAAGCCTCCTCCAATTCAACCGCTAATGGGCTTACCTAGTCCAAAGCCACCAAAGCCTCCTCCAATTCCACCGCTAATGGGCTTACCTAGTCCAAAGCCACCAACGCCTCCTCCAATTCCACCGCTAATGGGCTTACCTAGTCCAAAGCCACCAACGCCTCCTCCAATTCCACCGCTAATGGGTTTCCCTAGTCCAAAGCCACCAACGCCTCCTCCAATTCCACCGCTAATGGGCTTCCCTAGTCCAAAGCCATCTCCTCCAAACCCACCACCCCTTCCAACGCCACCACTGCCACCCCCAAAGCCACCACCGATGCCTCCTTTACTACCACCATAGGGACGGTGGGCGTGTGCCGGAGCCAGGACGCAGACAGCCAACACCAGAGCGGCCAAGACCACGAAGTGACGCATGCAGGAATGTAAGAGACGGAGACACTTGAGACGGTGACCTTGATATTACTGTCTTACTGTCAACACAAACACACTTGAGGTTATAGTGACCTTGATATTACTGTCTTACTGACAACACAAACACACTTGAGGTTATATCTGTGTCTTCCAGCCCACGTCGGGCTTTAACCAGCCCTATCAAACCCCTGATACATTACCTCCTCCTTTGATGCAGTGATAGAATCTCACATCATGATAATTACTGAATTACATATAATTATCACCCCTCAACGAGGTAGTTAAGAGGAGGGAGTACAAAGTCAGAATGACTGTATATATCACTTAGTAGGTGGTAGGGGGGACAAACTAGTTTGGGTTACGAGAAGGACGTGAAGGACCTACTCCCAGCCACTGGGATTCGAACGCCGACCTTGCCATGAAACAAGGCCGTCGCTGTGACGACCAGTACAAGTTACAGGGAACAAGATGACTACTCAGCTGCATGCTGGGATAGTCATCTTGACTACCAGGTACAGGTGAGAGCAGCAGGTGAAAGTCCGTACCTGGCGACGTGTGAGGGGCAGCTGATGACGGATGCTGGTGAGAAGTGTGTGAGCCAGAAGTGCATCTCACCTGTTAAATATAAAATCTCTGGGAATCCACTCCCCCCTCCTTTCCCCCCCCCCCTCCATTCCCCCCCCCCCTCCTTTCCCCTCTCTCAAAGCTCCCTTCCTGCACCCCCTCCCCACTCCCCAAGCCGCCCTCCTTCATGTAAATGATGTAAACATTAGTTCTACAGCATAGTAGAGTTGTCGGAGCGACATAGTCCTGTAGCATGGTGGAGATGAAGGAGTGGCGCAGACCTACAGAACGGTGTGTAGGCTGTAGGTATGACGTAGGCCTAGATAATAGGGGGGCTGTAGAACTATCAGGAGAAAGCGCCAAGCCATTAAGCCAAAAATTAAACACAAAAATTGCTCAAAAATACATTTTACATATGATTAGAATTAGCTTATTTATCAGTATCTCTTGGGGGAACCCCTAATTACCTTGGGGTTCCGCGGAGATGCTCACCTCTGGGGCAGATCTTGCAATCCTCTCTCATTTTGTTATATTAGATTTATGCTTGAAAATGTACGGATTTCAGGTCGGTTCTGCATATTCCAGTATTGATGTGACAAAAGCTGGTAAGATTGCCTTGAAAAAAGTCCTGATTTAGGTTTCTCAACGACGTTTTAATGCATGCCAGCGTCTCATATGCTGCCGATGTCACCCTGTTTATGTGTGTCTCTGGAGATGGTGTTGGAATTATATTCACTCCCAAATCTCTTTCTCTCTCCTACTCCTTATGGTACGGATACCTTGTGCACTACATTTTCCCCTCTCCCATTTTCATTACCTTACACTTGTTATGATTGAACTCTAGCACCCATTTGTTCGCCCAATACCGTAGTTTGTTGTGTGTGTTTATTTACTACTTGTGCCCGTAGGATTCGAGCTGTTAGTTCTCAAACCTCGACTTTCTAATTCGTCGGTTGTCTACTGACGATTAGAAAGTCAGTACTAATGTACTGACTTTCGACTTATTTTTCTCCATCATATCTACTACACATAGTTATCTCTCACACACATCCCCAGGAAGTAGCCCGTAGCAGCTTTCTAACTCCCAGGTACCTATTTACTACTAGGTGAATAAGGCCACATGATGAAATCAACTTTGCTCATTTTGTTCTGTCTCGGCTGGGAACCGAACCCGGGCCCTTAGGGCAATGTCTCCCGAGCGCTGTGTGTGTGTGTCTATTGTGACTTTAGAGAATTTACAATCAAATTAGGTGAACCGATTAAGAATTAGTCTTTTGTTTACATTTAGCCTTTCATGTCATGGGGATTAAAGCAAACATACTCGCAAATTAAGTGGTCATTTTTAGTATTTGGTTGCAAACCCTTTGCTTGCAACGCCTGCAAGAGGTCAACGTCCTATAGACGCCACCAGACGCTGGGTATGTTCCTTGGTGAGGCAATACCTTGGACCTCACTGTAACCTTCTTCTCTTCCTGTTTGTTTCGCGTTCATACTGCCATCGGTATATTGTCTTCACGAAGTTAAACTTGACTTCATTTGTCTTCAGGCTGAGTGATTGTCTTTGTCTTTGTCATGAACTTATTCTTTGCTTGCTTTAGTAGTATGTTTTGGGTCATTACCCTGCGGTACTGAGCTACAGGCATTTGGTTGGATCTGAACAAATGCAAAGTTCCTGTGCACTACAAAAGTCCTCGTGATGTCAGTGATGATGTGTAATTGTTGATGAAAACTCAGTTGTTTCAAGCGTAGGTTAGACAAAATATGAGTTAGTTTCGGTGGAGGCTTTGTATGGGTTAATGAACCTTCTACGCTTTTCTTCAGTGATATTTTCCTAAATATTATGTTATATGTTAATTAACATATGTTCCATATTATTGTTATTTTTTTATGTATGTAATTTTATATATTTATATATGTAATTATTCATTAAGGAAGACATTGTGTATGCAAATTTTCATTACACATAAAATGATCTTCGAGTTTTGGAAAACTTCTTTTCAAAAAAAGAAAAACAAAAATCTTTTTTGAAAATAATTTTTTTTAAGTTTTTAAATAATTTGCTCTATATCTAAATTATTTGTATATTTTAAGTAATAATCCTAATAAAGATTAAAATACACTCTCAGTGCATACACAGTGATACATATACCTCTCAGTGTATTGTATTTAAAGAAGTATAAAAGAAATCAAAGGAAAAATGACAAGTTTATCTTCACACATTTAAATATTTCATAGCAAAATAAAAAAAAAATACATAAGTTTTTACATTTTTATGCATCCCAAAACAAATTGAAACATAAATTATGTTTAATATTTTCCATCTAAGAGATCTCATATAAAAAAAATTTTTGGATAATACTGAATGACAAAAAATGTGACCACGTTTTTCTCCTCATCAATAACGAGAGAGCAAGTACATGATAAGAGGTTCGAACGAGGTGAGAATAGCCTGAACTGCCTCATCCCTTTGTGTGTGTATTTACACCTCATTTCAACTTATTTTCATTTCAGTGATGGAGATATTTCTTCGATACAAACAGACGTTGTAGAGCAGGTCAGAGGCATCGGTGATCCGCCCAACTGTTGTAGTTCTCGAGTAAATCCTCTGAGCTGTTTCTTCTCGTGGAATATAGAACTGTAAACTTGGTCTTGTGCAGGGTGGAGTAAGGGGTAAGTGCTATAGTGGTTTACTTTCCGTAGCCTTTGCTTCCGCCAAAGCCACCACCGCCTCCTCCAATTCCACCGCCAGTGAGCTTACCACCTCCAAAGCCACCTCCAAAGCCACCACCGCCTCCTCCAAAGCCACCACCGCCTCCTCCAAAGCCACCACCGCCTCCTACATTGGGCTTGAGACCTATACCTCCTCCAAAGCCACCACCGCCTCCTACATTGGGCTTGAGACCTACACCTCCTCCAAAGCCACTTCCTCCTCCAAAACCACCACCACCACCAATGCCAATGGGCTTACCACCTCCCAAACCACCTCCTCCAAAGCCACCACCGCCTCCAAAGCCACCACTGCCACCCCCATGGCCACCACCGATGCCTCCTTTACTGCCACCATAGGGACGGTGGGCGTGTGACGGAGTCAGGACGCAGACAGCCAACACCAGGGCGGCCAAGACCACGAAGTGACGCATGCTGGAATGTAAGAGACGGAGACACTTGAGACGGTGACCTTGATATTACTGTCTTACTGTCAACACAAACACACTTGAGGTTATAGTGACCTTGATATTACTGTCAACACAGACATAAGTAAGTTAACTTACTTACTTGTTGACAATTATAGTTAACAATATAAGTAATATATAGGTATATACAATAAAATACATTCGTTAAAGATTTCATTTCAAAATCAAATAAGTCTTAATATAAATTTCTCATGAAGGAAGCAATACATCATATTGGTCACTCAAGTAACTGATGAAGACTTAGGTCTTAAAAGCAGGTGAAACAAAATTTCTCTCTCTCTCTCTCTCTCTCTCTCTCTCTCTCTCTCTCTCTCTCTCTCTCTCTCTCTCTCTCTCTCTCTCTCTCTCTCTCTCTCTCTCTCTCTCTCTATAGATAGATAGATTATTAACAGGAGGAAGTTGAAAGGCAGAAGGACTCAGTTGCTCCTGGATATGGGAACTTGGATATGAAGGGAGAGTAGGATTAGGAACTTGGGATATAACCACATACAAGGACTGGGAACTTGGGATATGAGAACTAAGTAAAGGATCCTTGCCCAGACACTTGGCTCATCGGGGTCTTGAACGCCGACCCCTGCATGAAGCGAGGCCGTCGCTGTACCGACAGTGTGAAGTGGATGAACACTTAACACGGCACCTAGGTGAGAGCAACAGGTGAGAGCACAGGTGAGAGCAACAGGTGAGAGCAACAAGGTGTGAGCAACAGGTGAGTGCACAGGAGAGAGCACAGGTGAGAGCAACAGGTGAGAGCAACAGGTGAGAGCAACAGGTGAGAGCAACAGGTGAGAGCAACAGGTGAGAGCACAGGTGAGAGCACAGGTGAGAGCAACAGGTGAGAGCAACAGGTGAGAGCAACAGGTGAGAGCACAGGTGAGAGCAACAGGTGAAGAGCCTTACCTGGCGACGTGTGAGTACGGCAGCTGGAAGATGAGTGAGTCGGGGTGCCTCTGACCCCGGTATATATAGTGACCAAGACCTCCCCCCCACCCTTCCCCTGACGGTTCCCCCTTCCCATAGCCATTTCCTACCCCCCCTTTTAAGGCCCCCTTCCCGTCGCCCTCCCCTACCCCACCCCCCTTTAAGGCCCCCTTTCCATCGCCCTCCCTAACCCCCCCCCCCTTCCCACCTCCTTACCCTTAAGGCCCCCTTCCATCGCCCTCCCCCCCCCTTACCCTTAAAGCCCCATTCCAGTAGTCCTCTCCTACCCCCTAATCATCACATCCTCAGGGCAAGTTATCTCAGCTAAATATAGAACTGAAACAAATTTGGTCAAATTGTCTTATTAAGACGCATTGATGACTTGATAATTTCTAAGAAAATAGGTAGCGGATAGATGAATAGATGTAATGAAGGGAACATAGAACACATGTAGAAGCTGATATGGTCTTTGGTTCTAAGACTGTAGAACAGACAGTTTCTTTGGTGTAATAAGGAGCATCAAGGCTTCAGACTCTAAGCTTCTTGCTGCTTCAATTCGTCTGCAATTTTCCATTCGACCAAAAGGGAGTCATTATAAGGGACTTGGAAAATGTTCTTAGGGTCCAAATTTTATTATCATTTATGCCTGGTGGCGTGGACCATTATCTAACATTTCGGTCCGTCCTCGATCACTATCTAATGTTTCGGTCCATCCTGGACCCTTATCTAACGTTTCGGTCCGTCCTGGACCCCTTTTCTAACGTTTCGGTCCGTCCTGGACCCTTTTCTAACGTTTCGGTCCGTCCTGGACCCTTATCTAACGTTTCGGTCCGTCCTGGACCCTTATCTAACGTTTCGGTCCGTCCTGGACCCTAATCTGACGTTTCGGTCCGTCCTGGACTCTTATCTACCGTTTCGGTCCGTCCTGGACCCTTATCTAACGTTTCGGTCCGTCCTGGACCCTAATCTAACGTTTCGGTCCGTCCTGGACCCTTATCTAACGTTTCGGTCCGTCCTGGACCCTAATCTAACGTTTCGGTCCGTCCTGGACCCTTATCTAACGTTTCGGTCCGTCCTGGACCCTAATCTGACGTTTCGGTCCGTCCTGGACTCTTATCTACCGTTTCGGTCCGTCCTGGACCCTTATCTAACGTTCCGGTCCGTCCTGGACCCTAATCTAACGTTTCGGTCCGTCCTGGACCCTTATCTAACGTTTCGGTCCGTCCTGGACCCTTATCTAACGTTTCGGTCCGTCCTGGACCCTAATCTGACGTTTCGGTCCGTCCTGGACTCTTATCTACCGTTTCGGTCCGTCCTGGACCCTTATCTAACGTTTCGGTCCGTCCTGGACCCTTATCTAACGTTTCGGTCCGTCCTGGACCCTTATCTAACGTTTCGGTCCGTCCTGGACCCTAATCTGACGTTTCGGTCCGTTCTGGACCCCGATCTAACGTTTCGGTCCGTCCTGGACCCTTATCTAAGGTTTCGGTCCGTCCTGGACCCTAATCTAACGTTTTGGTCCATCCTGGACCATTATCTAACGTTTCGGTCCGTCCTGGACCCTAATCTGACGTTTCGGTCCGTTCTGGACCCCAATCTAACGTTTCGGTCCGTCCTGGATCCTTATCTAACGTTTCGGTCCGTCCTGGACCCTAATCTAACGTTTCGGTCTATCCTGGACCATTAACAATTTGTGGAAGAGTTTGAGAGAGACTTTATAAGGCAAGATAGGTAAGTATTTTTTATCATGTCACTTTAATACTGGTGAACGCTTAATCAATTTCCTTGACTCACTGAACAAGATGTTGGACTCACTAAATCAGAAACAAAATAGTTCCTAACTTTTGTAATATTTTAAGAAGCGTTGTAATGTTATCAATTCTAAGAATAGCTTGTTAAATTAGCTGATGTAAATGTTGTATAAAGTCATTGACCTTAATGGGCAACCTTCTTGCAACCTTCAAGTAGCAAGACCGTCAATCAACAGGTGTACAAGTTCCTGAGCCTATTGGGCTCTATCATATCTACACTTGAAACTGTGTATGGAGTCAGCCTCCACCACATCACTGCCTAATGCATTCCATTTGTCAACCACTCTGACACTAATAAAGTTCTTTCTAATATCTCTGTGGCTCATTTGGGCACTCAGCTTCCACCTGTGTCCCCTAGTGGGTGTGCCCCTTGTGTTAAATAGCCTGTCTTTATCTACCCTATCGATTCCCCTGAGAATCTTGAATGTGGTGATCATGTCCCCCCTAATTCTTCTGTCTTCCAACGAAGTGAGGTTCAATTCCCGTAGTCTCTCTTCGTAGCTCATACCTCTCAGCTCGGGTACTAGTCTTGTGGTAAACCTTTGAGCCTATTCCAGTTCAGTCTTATGCTTGACTAGATATGGACTCCATACTGGAGCCGCATACTCCAGGATTGGTCTGACATATGTGGTATATAATGTTCTGAAAGATTCCTTACACAAGTTTCTAAAGGCCGTTCTTATGTTAGCCAACCTGGCATATGCCGCTGATGTTATCCTCTTGATATGGGCTTCAGGGAACAGGTCTGGCGTGATATCAACCCCCAGGTCTTTCTCTCTCTCTGAATCTTGAAGTATTTCATCTCCCAAATGATACCTTGTATCTGGTCTCCTGCTCCCTACCCATATCTTCATTACATTACATTTGCTTGGGTTAAACTCTAACAACCATTTGTTCGACCATTCCTGTAGCTTTTGTGTGTGTGTGTGTGTGTGTGTGTGTGTGTGTGTGTGTGTGTGTGTGTGTGTTTCAACAGTTATGCAATTCTCCATATTAAAGTTTAAATAAAATTCATGTTAAATTAAAATTTTATTTCTTCATATTTGCTACAAGGAAAACAAATTGAAATGCGGGTTAACATGCAAGGAAAATTTCAAATATTTTCTCTTAAGTGTTCATAAGGAAATCTTCATTCTTGGTATCTGATTAAGTTACAGTGACTCCAAACCCAAAACATTATTATAAAATCCACCACATTAAAAGTATTTGAAGAGATCATTTTATTAGTGTATAAGCAACACTTTAAGACAGGTATATATTGCTTGTCTTTTGGTTCGTAAACATGTCGAATTCTCCAGGTGTGCCAATTGATCCGCAAAGTTTATGTTTGGTCAGCAGGCCGGTGATCCATCAATGTCCTTATCGGCCTACCCATGGTAACCGAAAGACCTCCTGGAGGAGCAGCAGTAGTACTGGTTTTGATATAAGCTTCGGCACCAGTACCTACACCCTAAGTAGCCATCACCGGGGTTGACGAGGAAGAGCTGGCTGAAGCCTGGCACGTAGTTTGGGAAGTTATGTTGGGTGAAGAATCCGTGTCCAAACTTGTGTCCAACCAAACTCAGTCCCAGTGCTGGTCCCTTGCCAAAGCCACCATAGCCACCATAGGGACGGTGGGCGTGTGACGGAGCCAGGACGCAGACAGCCAACACCAGAGCGGCCAAGACCACGAAGTGACGCATGCTGGAATGTAAGAGACGGAGACACTTGAGATCAGGTGCGAGGCTACATCTATCGACTCTTCAACACCACAATCTATCTTAGTTCAGCCTGCAAGCAAGCTATAATCCCGTACAGAAAACAAGATCAAATTCTCAATATACATTAACAATAAAAAGTACCTTCCATTGATTATTGCAAATGTGCAATACATTACCCGATCCATAACTTAGATCCATTAAAGATCACTTTGACAAGCTCAACGAGAGGATGAAGATAACATGATCATTGATCCAAAACGCTACACTTGATCAGAGTTTTTTTAAATATATAAAATTACCTACTGAAGTTACCATTGTCAGCATACCCTAGGCTATATTTTTTATACAAACAAAAATTATATTTTTATTATTATTATTATGTATAAACTTACCAAGGAATACAAGGTAAACTGTCAACAGAACATATATTATATACTATGCATTAAAACTTAACCTTGTACCTAGGAACAGACAAAAGCGGCTGTGACTTCATACCTGGATAGATGTGGCAGAGCTGACGCCTAGGAATGGGTGCGCTTGTGTGTGTAAGTGTCAGAAGAGCTCCTCGCCGGATATATATGTATATACCTTGTGGCTGGCACTGTAAATACCCATATACCCCTTGTCCCACTCCAGTTGCCACGCTGAAAGCTACTATTTAACCCCTATGGACCCCAGTGTTCCTGAAGTCATCGTACATCTGGATGTTTTTCCTGCTAATGTTTACGTTTTTTATATTTCCCTACTTATTGTCGTATCAGGTTGATTCGTCGAGTGAAAAATATATTGTTTCAGGCTAGCAATAAAAACCTGAAGATGCTAAACGAGAACGAAACATTCAGACTGTAGCTGACTGTTTGTGAAGTCGTGAGTGGACTGTGGTCAATCGGAATTCTACGAGAAATGCCAGTTGAAGCGATAGCGACAACCTGAAGTGTTGTTTGGTAATAAATGAAGTCAGTAGTTCCGGTGTCATCAACGAGCAGACATGAAAGCGATATCAGGAAGACTGTGTAATCAGCAGGAGTCATTATCTAGCCAAGTGTGAGACCAGGCAGAACTTTTATGGTCAAAGTGCGCAAGACCTGGACACATAGTCATTTGATATCTTGGTATTCATCGACACATATGGAGGACGGTGACCACCAGGAGAAGTGTATAAGCTATGAGGAAGGGTTCCAGCGAGGAGAGTGGACCCGCTCCACCTGATACATCCCTCCCTCCCTCCTGTGGATTACACAAAGAATGGGGAGGCTTCCACAGCCGAGAGAGTCACATAGGAGGACATACTTGGGGTAAGGCTTGTGTGTCACTGAAGGTAATTCTGTAGTGTATATATATATATGTATGTAATGACATATAACTTGCTATTTTGTAATTTGTAAGTGTAAGGACGGAAATGTAGATTTAAGTGACGAGGTTGGTGTAAATACAGATTATTTGGGAGTTAAGCTAGATTGCTTTAGTGTTATATATGAACTTTGCTGTAGTGAAGTTATTGGAAATATATTATGGCAAAAATTTTAAATTTTATAAAGAGATTTTGCGGTAATTAATATTGATTGGGATATGTACTCGTGATGGATAGAAACAGCCTAAGCTACTCTGTCCTTTTCTTTTGTATTATCTCCATAAACTTAACTGAACTTGAATTCACTACTTTTCGAAATGTAAAGTAAATGTACTAATTTGACGGGGAAACGAAACTTAATACTTACCAAAAGTTTTGTATATATATATATGTATATATGAATATATATATATATATATATATATATATATATATATATAATATATATTAATATATCGCATTATGTAGTCGAGTGGGCAAGTTATGTATTGTTAACAACCCGCAATGGCTGCAGAGGTAATTTAGGCCTCACTGTGTGCGTTTGTTAACATTAGACACTCCTGGGAGGATTGGCAGAGCCAGAGACTCACTAGTATTCACTCAGAGCCTCATTAGAGCGAGTCCGTCCCTCTACCGTCCAGCCCAAGTAATTGGACTCAGTGAAGAGAGTAGTTGTATAAAAATAATTCGAAAGGCGTTGCTTAGGAACTTAAGCTCGACCCTGACAACAAATCTAGGTAGGCACACACGCATACGCACACGCCCGCACATGCAAGGTTACAAAACCCGATCACAGGACCAGTTTTAAGATTCGTGAGACGCTCTGGGTAAACAATCCCCTTGATTCGCTTTCAGGAATCCTTCTCAATCCCGCCATTCACACGCCCCCGCGTTCACACGCCTCAAGAGCCTACACTCCCCTGAGACCACACGCCTTCGTATCCATATACGTCCCCTGCCCCTACACGCCCCCACCCCCAGCGCCTGCACGCCCCCTGCGTCTAAACGCCCCCTGCGTCTACAAGACCCCTGCGTCTACAAGACCCCTGCGTCTACAAGACCCCTGCGTCTACAAGACCCCTGCGTCTACACGCCCCCTGCGTCTACACGCCCCCTGCGTCTACACGTTCTCGGCCAGAGTCCGGCTGCATCCAGTTTGCTTTCAGACTCCGGCAGGTAAAACAGGTTTTTGAAGCCTGCGCCGCCCAGTGTTACTGACGGGCATGATCTTGGGGATGGGGTATTGGGGGGAGCGGAGGGGTACTGGATGGGGGGATGGGGTATAGAATGGGGGGAGGGGGTATAGAATTAGGGGAAGGGGGGAACGGGGGGGTTTCCGGCCTCGGCAAGACACGTGTCTCCAACACACAGATGTCTATATATGAGACAGATAACTGATAATCATGAATTAATGAGTGTTATTTTAAATAAGTTATTTGTACTTTTAAGAGGGGAACTTTAATACTGTTTTTGAACAAACTGCAGCCGAACAAATCTGTGTAGATGGTTGGAGAGGTTAAATTGTCTAGTTTAGTTGTTACCAGGGAGGAAGTTATGAAACATAAATATTAGAGCCCAACAAGTCACCCCCAAGAGCCAGACAAAGCGTCTGCCAGGGTACTTGAGGAATGCCAAGACAAGCTTAGTGAACCACTGGTCTTGCATATTGATGTTGCGCCGATATTGAAGAAGGGAGATAAGTTGCATCAACATATCATCCAATTACGTTACTCTCAATTGCAGGAAAATTGTTAGAATCGATAACTGCAAAAGCCATTCGTTTGCATGTTGAACAAACATAAATTAACTATAGGATTCTCAAAATGCCTTTATTTAGAGCCACCCATGTTAAACAAATTTACTCTCATTCTTTTCAAGTATATTTCAAACAGTTGACAATGGAAAGGATTGCAGCATTTTATACCTTGAATTTAGCAAAGCCTTTGATACTGTTCCTCGCTGCTAGTTAGTTAGAGGGGCAAGGTACTGGAGGCATTATACTTCGTTAGATTAGCTCGTGGTTATTTCATACACAAGAGAGACTTCGGGTAATAGTAGGCGGAGTGGGGGAACCATTTTAGGGGGAGTACCTCCGGGGCCCGTTCTGAAACCTGTAGTGTTTACCACGTACACGAACGAGTCAGCTTCAGGATTGAACGGCAACGTTTGCAAATTTGCGGACGATACAAAAATAGGTGAGGAATGTCTTTGTCGAGTGAGGTACCTGTGTTGTGAGGGATACACTTGTGTTATGAGGGGTACCTGTATCGTGAGGGGTTACCCATGTCGCGAGGGATATCTGTGTCGCTACGGGACGGATACCTGTCTGTCGAGGGAGTACATCCAGGTGTTCTCAGTTAATGATCCTAGCTTGGGAATTCTCAAGAGTTGAAAATATATATCCTTGAGTATTTCCCCAGTTGTTCATTAAACAACAGGTTATGTGTGTGTGTGTGTGTCTGTGTGTACTGCTTGTGCTACCAAGACTCAGCTCTTGGACCCCGCCTTTCTAACTGATATAGTTGTCTAATGTACTGACTCCCTTCATATTTTCCTCTATCCTATCTACTGTATAATGACCATACCAGACATTTTATTTCTGACATCATCAAGACCATTTGAGTAGTCTTTCTGGCCACCTCACACTTCACCTTCTGGCCTCCTCTGAGGAAAATCGTGTCAACGCCCCCGGGGGCCTGAGACATGACGGTAATCCCACACCAGGTGAGACAACATCTCTCCTAGTCTCTCCTACACGCCAAGTAGTTTCTCCTACACGCCAAGTCTATAACAACAAACTCTCTTGAGCCACAACCACCACTAACTCAAACTGCGTGAACGAACTCAAACATATAGGGATTCTAACCCTGCAGTTACGGGACCACAGAGATTTTTTTTTATTAAATATAATAGCACCTTAGGGTTTAATAGCATCCTCGACCCAATGGGAATAGAGTCCGGTGTTTCAACAACCTAACCACCACATCCCAGCAGTTCACCTGAGTGTAACAGGTTAACATGTTAGAGGTTAATGAAGTCAATGTCCTTGCTTAGTATTTATTGGTTGCTCAGTTTTAAGTTCTTGTGATTTGGGAGGACTTGTGGGTCGACATAGTACTTGCGGAAGACTTGTTGGTCCACCCAGTACTTGACGAAGACTTGTGGGTCTACCCAGTACTTGACGAAGACTTGTGGGTCCACCCAGTACTTGGGGAAGACTTGTGGGTCCGCCCAGTACTTGAACAAGACTTGTGGATCTACCCAGTACTTGACGAAGACTTGTGGATCCACCCAGTACTTGAACAAGACTTGTGGATCCACCCAGTACTTGAACAAGACTTGTGGATCCACCCAGTACTTGAACAAGACTTGTGGGTCCACCCAGTACTTGACGAAGACTTGTGGATCCACCCAGTACTTGAACAAGACTTGTGAGTCAACCCAGTACTTGAACAAGACTTGTGGGTCCACCCAGTACTTGCGGAAGACTTTTGGGTCCACCCAGGACTTGAAAAAGACTTGTGGGTCCACCCAGTACTTGAACAAGACTTGTGGGTCCACCCAGTACTTGAAAAAGACTTGTGGGTCCACCCAGTACTTGAACAAGACTTGTGGGTCCACCCAGTACTTGAACAAGACTTGTGGGTCCACCCAGTACTTGCGGAAGACTTTTGGGTCCACCCAGTACTTGAAAAAGACTTGCGGGTCCACCCAGTACTTGAAAAAGACTTGTGGGTCCACCCAGTACTTGAAAAAGACTTGTGGGTCCACCCAGTACTTGAAAAAGACTTGTGGATCCACCCAGTACTTGAATAAGACTTGTGGGTCCACCCAGTACTTGAACAAGACTTGTGAGTCCACCAGTACTTGAACAAGACTTGTGGGTCCACCCAGTACTTGAACAAGACTTGTGGGTCCACCCAGTACTTGCGGAAGACTTTTGGGTCCACCCAGTACTTGAAAAAGACTTGTGGGTCCACCCAGTACTTGAAAAAGACTTGTGGGTCCACCCAGTACTTGAAAAAGACTTGTGGGTCCACCCAGTACTTGACGAAGACTTGTGGATCCACCCAGTACATGAGGAAGACTTGTGGGTCCACCCAGTACTTGAACAAGACTTGTGGGTCCACCCAGTACTTGGGGAAGACTTGTGAGTCCATCCAGTGCATGAGGAAGATTTGTGGGTCCACCAAGTACTTGAACAAGACTTGTGGGTCCACCCAGTACTTGAAAAAGACTTGTGAGTCCACCCAGTACTTGAACAAGACTTGTGGGTCCACCCAGTACTTGAAAAAGACTTGTGAGTCCACCCAGTACTTGGGGAAGACTTGTGAGTCCACCCAGTACTTGAAAAAGACTTGTGGGTCCGCCCAGTACTTGAACAAGACTTGTGGATCCACCCAGTACTTGAACAAGACTTGTGGGTCCACCCAGTACTTGAACAAGACTTGTGGGTCCACCCAGTACTTGAACAAGACTTGTGGGTCCACCCAGTACTTGAACAAGACTTGTGGGTCCACCCAGTACTTGACGAAGACTTGTGGGTCCTCCCAGTACTTAAGAAAGACTTATGGGTCCACCCAGTACATGAGGAAGTCTTATAGGTGCACCCAGTACTAGGAAGAGCTTACAGCAGAGCATGAGAATCAGGAAGTGGGAGAACCAATAGTGATGTTGTTAGACCAGGAACTATTGGCTACTGTTTGAGGAAGATGATGGTACTGTTGCCGAGGCCGTACTGATTGACGAAACAGTCTCGGTACTGGTCCAGGAGCAGGTCTTGGAGACTCATCTGATTCATCATCACCGCCTGCCGGAAGGAAATACAAGCTCATGTTACTGGTGCTAACCTCTTGAAAGAGAGAGAGAGAGAGAGAGAGAGAGAGAGAGACAGAGAGAGAGAGATGACAGGTTAAACTCTGCTATAAAGTTATTTGGAATCTATTGTATTTTTTGTCAACCCTTCACATTCTTGTTATTTTCTGTACACCCACTTTCTCCTCCCTTTTGTATGATTACCTGTATACATGAGTATACTTGTATGATTATACATGACACTGTATACACGAGTGTACATGTATATAAATCTACCGTGACGTGATGAAGAACATATGTCCTCATACCCACCATGGAGAGGGGGTGGGGCCTTGTAGTCAACACGATGAATACCCGTACTCACCTTGACAGGATGGGTGTACTGAGTACACAGGGCGTGGAAGACACTGGAGGGCTTGAGGGCGTGAGCGAGGACCAGGTCGACGGAGGGACGCCCCAGGGCGACCAGTAGGGACGCTAGGCTGATACACTGCTGCTTCTGCTTGTTCTGAGGTCAGAGGTCAGAGGTCAGAGGCCGATGTAGTCATATATCGCAATGGCGAGCTAGGATATGGGGTAAACTAAGAGCTGGGATATAGGATAGACTAAGAGCTAGTATATAAGGACAGATTAAGAATTATGAACAGCTCAAAAATGTCATTTCTTCTTCAAAAACAATGATTTTTTATTCAATGTTTAAATTCTCCAGATAATTTTATTGACACTGAATATATCAAGTCTGAAACCGTAAAAGAGGACTCACTAGGTAGGGGACGGTATCGGAGAGGCAAGCGTGTGAATACCAGAGGTGGGGGACAGGAGAATGACCTGGCTGGTCCTCTGGTCTGGGGTCGAGCCACAGCCCCGTCTTCCCCAGCGTCCCCACCAGTGCTGGGGACTCCCCCGTCGCCGCCACAACAAACTCCACCTCTCCTACCTGTAATGTTATTGCTGAATTAAAAATAAATAATGAATAATCTTTCCTCCCCTCAAACACTCTCTCTCTCTCTCTCTCTCTCTCTCTCTCTCTCTCTCTCTCTCTCTCTCTCTCTAAATATGAAAATTACAACACAGGAGGAACTGAAGGAATACTATTTATATTTATAAGTCAAATTAAGTTCCACATGGACCACAGCTAACCACACGACGTTTCTGCAACTTATATATTAAATAAGAGACCAAATATGACATTTTTCTTAGTATCTTCGCAACTGAAGCTGATGCCAAACAAAAATAAATTTAAAAAATCTGATTTTGAAGGAAATCAAATTGGGCGGTCTTTGAAACTCTTCAAGAAGACTTAAAGACTTTACACAAGTGAAGCCAGTAATGTATATAGTTTAGGCAAAATCGCCAATTAATGTAAACCAAGACTCACCATTGCTGTCACCTTCCGCACAATCTCCAGGTCGTCCTTAGTCAGGTGGTCCTCCGAGACAGGTGTCGTGGGGGAGGCTGCCTCAGGTGGTCTCAGGAACTCCTCCTTCACCACCTGCAATAGCTGGGGCTCGTCCCACATGGGGGAACCCAGCAACATCTCCTCAAGACAGTCATCTTCTGCAACAAATTGCAATGTTATTAGCAATCACAATAAATAAAACATATTTCAGCTAAAATATTAGTAATTTAAAATGATGGCCTTGATAGGTAAACTGAGTGAACAACGAAGATATCAACAGTAGTTTGTCTTTTACAGGTGAGACTGCTGGGTCGGTGCAGCGACGATCTCGCTTCTTGCAGAGTCGGCGTTCGATCCCCGATGGTTCAGGTAAGTGGGCACCGTTCCTTCCCTGGAATTATCCCAGGACCTTGTCCTCATATACTAGCTCCTTGTCCTCGTATCCCAGCTCCTTGTCCTCGTATCCCAGCTCCTTGTCCTCATATCCCAGCTCCTTGTCCTCAAATCCCAGCTCCTTGTCCTCATATCCCAGCTCCTTGTCCTCGTATCCCAGCTCCTTGTCCTCGTATCCCAGCTCCTTGTCCTCGTATCCCAGCTCCTTGTCCTCATATCCCAGCTCCTTGTCCTCATATCCCAGCTCCTTGTCCTCGTATCCCAGCTCCTTGTCCTCACACACCTTCCAAATGCCACATAGTCATTCTGGCTTAGTACTTTCTCGTTACAATTTGCACGCTTGATCTATGATCAGGAAATGCCAACTACGAACTTTATATATAAGCTGTATACGTGAACTGTATAATCTGTTTTTATAAGCTATAATATGCATACGTGGCCCAAGGTCTGTATATATAACCTATGAGTCGTATATGTGAGACATAACCGACTCGGGTTAATTACTATATCGTAACACGAACAAATAAACTGGCAGCAACAAACATATATTCGAAAACAACTCTGATCAACAAATCAAGTACGACAAACACAACCAATTCTACCCTGAATTTCCAAACTATGACATAAATTGAAAGGTAAAGAACCAACCGACTCGTGTATAGGAATGCAAGAGTTTATTCGTTATTTATTTATTTATATATATAAAAAAAGATACACTGAGTTGTGAGAGTACATAACATTGGCGATCTTACATTCGTGCAAAGCCACTAACACTGATATAACGTTTCAAGCAGTTAGTTAACAGTTCGTCCCCAAGTTACCAACCTTCATAGCTTCAATTGTCCTGTAACGAAGAGCAAGAGAGACCCAACGACTCACCTGTAGGGACGCCACAGTCCTCGTGAGTGTGTGGCGAGGCGCTGGGGAGACAGACCACCACAGTCACCACCACACACACCACCACAACCACTACCACCACCGCTACCAACACCACCCTGCCTGATAGTCTGCCACAGGGCCCGTCTCTTTCACGGCTGGTAGGGTGAAAAAGAGACGGATAATTAAACGGGTGTTCGATGGAACGGGGTGGAAAGAGAGATAATGAAGGGAATAAATTTATTGGAAGGATAAAATAATAAACAGAGAGAGCGAATAAGGGAAAGCTATTGTTAGTAATTATTATTAAAATGGTGGTGACAAATGTGATGAGATGAAGATGACGGTGAAGATGATAGTGGTGGTGACGAAGGTGATCTCATAAAACTTTAAAACACGGACATAAAACACACAAGTTAAAAACAAAGGCTGGAGATTATAATTACCGAGACAATTGGGCCTTCCGCTCCATGCACGCGTGTGTGTATGTGTTTGCGTTTGCAAGCACGTGTGTGTGTGTGTGTGTGTGTTTGTGAGTGTATTTACACACTTGACATTACAAGGACACTTTACACACTGCTAATCACCAAAACACGTTGCAAACAATAGACATAAAGGTTGCAGGGAACTAGGCGTGAGGGTTGACGATCAGCCTCACTCGTCCGCTTGCGAGGAACAACACGACCTGAACTGCCACACAACAGGAAAACCCCAACTGTAATCCTGGCTTGGTCCAGCGTGTCGACGTCGACCTCGACGCACCAGTCTTGGGCCCCCTGAACCCCTGGTGTGGAGAGTATGTCGACCTGAACATAGTTACTACGTTCTAAACATTTGTTTTGAGAATTTAAAGTAGAAGGAGGAGAGGAGAAGAGAGGAGGGAATAGAGAGAGAGAGAGAAGGAGGATGAGTGGTTTTGGAGAAAGAGCAGGAAAATGGAACTATTAACTTATAGCCACGTACTCTCGGGGAGGGGGGGGAGGGGGGGGGAAGAGTTAGGGCGGTACTTCCTCCCTGACTGCTACTTTCAATGGCTTCTATGTCTCTATTCAAGTTACTCCTTCAAGCTTGCACTTAACATGACTACTGTCGGCGATGAGTCACAATAACGTGGCTAAAGTATGTTGACCAGACCACACACTAGAAGGCAAAGGGACGACGACGACGTTTCGGTCCGTCCTGGACCATTCTCAAGTCGATTGTCGACTTGAGAATAAGAACATAAGAACAAAGGCAACTGCAGAAGGCCTATTGGCCCATACGAGGCAGCTCCTATTTATAACCACCCAATCCCAGGATGGGATTGGTCCAGGACGGACCAAAACGTCGTCGTCCCTTCACCTTCTAGTGTGTGGTCTGGTCAACAGGTCTGCTGTCTCCTTCCCTATTAGCCCCTCACTGTCTACTATCTCTCACTGTCTACTGTCTATCAATGCTATCTGCTTGCACTTGGACAGTCTGTAACATCTTCACTTTGTGGTCCACCTGAGTGTCTTGACCGCCTGCTCTAACAACCATCTTGCTGCCCTTGAAAAGATTCAGGCTAACTTGCCTGAAAAGATGTGCCCCTAACGTGCCCCTGAAAAGATTCAGGCCTGGTCGACGACCGAGCCGCGGGGACGCTAAGCCCCGGAAACACTTCAAGATAATTCAAGGTAACTTGACAGAGATTATCCGTCACTCCGTGTTAATTAAACAGACTCACACGTCACTCAAGACAGGGGCCAATATTATTGTTGTTGTTGTGGGGGGGGGGGTCATTAATCTGAGTCCTCACGTGCCACGTCTAAATTAATCAATTGATAGGAGTAATATATTGATCGCGCTACTTGTGGGGTTTGAGTACTTACTGCGTGTGACTAGCTGTGAGGGTAAGATTGCCTCGTTACAGTAAACAAATGACTCGCGTCATCGTTGACAGGTGACGTATGCCATGATTGACAGGAGACTCACGATAAGCTTGACAGGTGACTTCATGATTGATTATCTGACTTGACAGTACAAACAGAGCATAATAATAAGGCTATTATTTTGCGTTCATTTATTATGTATTTGCTAATAATCCATACAAAAATGAACTTACAATTAATATAACTAACAATATATATTAACAATAAATGTAAATTAACAATTATATGTAAACCAATAATTAGCTGACGGTAAACTAACAGCCAATGGTAAACTAACAGTTAATTAAATAGCAAACTAAGGAGAAGTGAAAGACAATTTACTAACGGTTGTAGGGTAAATGAAACAACATTTAATTGATAAAATGCACTTGTATATTGCATTAAAAGATGGCATCAGCCAAACAGCTTTATAAAAACATTGATTATACAAAGCCGAAAAAATTGCACACGAGAACTCGAGAAAAAAAATCTTAGACTCGAATGAGCTGAAAACAAGAGTGTCCAAAGCACGAGAAATTATGAACTAATTGTATCATTTTATCTATATAAAATGATTGACGTTTAGTTTACGTTGCTTAGAAGGGCCAGAATCATGACCATTTGCATATAAGTTGTTAGGAATAAAGTCCTCTAATTCTAATTTCCTGGAAATGAATTAAACATTTACAATGGAACTCAAAAAGAGAGGAAATACAGGTAATCAAACCTGCTTGGATCCTCGAGTGATTGGTTCTCGTGGAAATGGTTCACAGCCAGACTCGACTAACATCTTTGGGACGAGGTCAAAGGTCAGAGAGAGAGTGCAAAACTTAAAATGTCAGGTGTTGTAGGGTTTTTAACGTCTAAAGTTACTTGGGAAAGTCAAGATTATGGAAAAAGTCAGAGACACTAGAATGACTCTCTAGCGTGAACGATGGTTCATTCCACAAAATTATAGTTATAATTATAAATATAGAACTATAATTATAGTTCCAAATAGTTATAAATATCATGTTCATAAAGTTATTAAGAGAGTCAAAATGAAGAACATAATTAACATAACTTATTCATTTTGTTTTTTTATCATATTATTCAAACCACTGTCGACCACTTGGTCGCAGGCTTTACAGGGATATATTTTAAAATCATTATAACAAAATGGGTTAAAGGAGTACCATGACTAATTAAATTCACTAGAGTCCTCGTGGACTCGAACCCATTGTACTACCAATCGTGCCATTGATGCTAATAATAAGGAAGAATCTCGGAAGTACCTAACTGGTACCCAACTGAGACTTTAAAAAACTTTCCATGGAGTACCACTAAGGTGTCTGGAGGTATGGGTACCCTTTCATCCTTGTCTTATGGCATAACATGCTGTTGTGGGATGCATCTTGCAATGCTTATTGAGATCACAACACTGATACAAGGTGCTTATACTCAGGAATTAGTATGCTATATGCTCTAAAAAAAAATCTTGTATGGGCATAAAATATATATATATTCAAATATTTTTAAGAATTATCAAAACAAAACATATTTCTTCACACAGTAGTGAGGAAGAGAAATTAAAAGAAAGTTGAGGAATTAGATGTTAAATGTTAAATATTGTTAGCTGGCTACATCCCATGGTGCAGCCTCCCTCATCTTGCTCCTCCTATGGTGGTGCCTCCCTAATGTTGCCTCTCCCATGGTGGCACCATTTCATGGCAGTCATTATCGCCCTAGGCACCATTAACACCGACACACTACATATTAACTATAGGCATTCCGGGGAGGACAAGATCCGTCGGTTTCGTTATCTGACCAACTCTAGTGGGTTTAGGAATCTCTGCTTCAGTAGGACGTCCAGTCTTCTCCAAGTCTGAAGTCCAATTCTGCTTCGACTTATTTCTCGCCTCGGACAAGGCTGTGACCGTCATGTACATAGGGAACGGCAGGAGGAGGCAGGAGGCGGCGGTGATCGCCAGGAACACCAGCAGGAATACGTAGGCGCCCTTGGGTACTAGGCAGAGAGAATAGCAATGTTCTCTAGTTAGAATATGCCGCAAATACACTTTACCATCTTCTGGAGAAATGCGATGGATCCGAACTCACGTCTCGGAGTCACTCTTCTAGGTGACTCGGGACGCAAGTTTGAGTCCATCTCATTGCTTCATCAGATTGTTTCATAAATAGTTCAAGCTAATATGATTTTATTATACATGTTACCAGTATTTCAATACAGTTCAATGCTCATGAGTACTATTTCAAGTGTGAGACTCAATCCTCATTTGCTCAGTCACATACGAAACCTGTACATCTTTCGCTAATCATTGCGGCTTTGTTTACATTTATTAAATAGTTTACATACCACGACGATTATAATATCAATAGTAACTTTAAGTTGTGAAGTTCCCAAGCTTGTCAACTGTTTATTAAATGCAAACAAAACCGCTATGAATAATGAGAGATGTACAGGTTTCGCAAGTGATTGAATAAAGCCTTTAGGGGCTCCAGTAGGCCCTTACAGCGTGTGTTGCCCCTGGAGGAGGTGCCTGACACGACAGTCACCGTCTTGGTAGACGTCTTCCATCCATATTGGTCTCTGACCGCCGCCTTGACCTCGTACACGCCCTCCTGTGAGTAGGTGTGACCCCGGGTCACCACGCTGGAGGCTGTAACAACACCAGGGAACCCTAGAGACCACGTGACCCATGTATACTCACACTCTCATACTAAACACACTCACACTCTCATACTAAAACGCTCGTACTCACACACTCTCATACTAAAACGCACGTACTTACACTCATACTAAAACACACGTACTCACACTCATACTAAAACACATGTATTGACACAACGAGTATATCCAAGGATGCACACATCCACACAACAGTAAACACACAAACGCAAACAATTAAGAGGATTTTACAGGAATTAAGAAAATAATTACAGACTCAGGAATGCAGAAGGTTTACAGCAACCATAACACAGCAGCAGCGGCAGCGTCTGTGGGTTGGTACAATGATGTAACCAACTATGAACAACTTGTTGAAAGGGAACAATAGAAGAACAAAAGTGTACTTAGGCCGCATCAAGCTTGGTGTACCCATGTACACGGAAATAAGTTCTACAGCTACCAGAAGAAGAGAGAAAATGTTACCATTGCCTAGCAACGCCAGAAAATAGACCTTTGGAACATTTGTTAAAACAGAACAGACTTGCAAACTAAATAAGATCCCAGTGAGAGTAAACAGGACAGAAGAAGTCTGTTTACAACAGTGGACTTGTAAACAAGTCCTTTTTTTACAAGTCACCGTCCTACTGAAACCTGCACTCTTCTTGAAGCCAACACAAGTTATAAATACTCATCCACAGCCTGAGTAACACATGAGAGATGAGTAACACTCAGTGGGACAGCCAGAGGCTTAGAACCCACATACGACAATTCCTGCAAAGCAAAAAAAGTGCAAATATGAGGTGAAGAAATTCGAAATTATTCATATTGATTGAATTAATGAGAAGATCATCAAGATGAGGAGGAACCAAACAAGAGAACACGTCACTCATTTTATAGAACACGTCACTCATTATGTTGAACACGTCACTCATTTTGTTGAACACGTCACTCATTTTATTGAACACGTCACTTAACTTACAGAACACATCACTCAACTTACAGAATATGTCAGTTAACATGCAGAACATGTGATTCAACTCACAGAACATGTCAATCAACTCACCAAACACGTCAATCAACTCACAGAACATGTCAATCAACTCACAGAACATGTCAATCAACTCACAGAACACGCCAGTAACCTTGG